TGACTTGGTGGCAAGTAAGACAAGTGGGCCGAGCCTTCGAACAGAGTTTCAAGCGCTTGGTTCGCGGGTTGAGCCGTGCGCTTCTTCTGGTTCTTTTCTGCTGCGATGACATCACAGTAGTAGCTTGTTAGGTGTTTTCAGCTCACAGGGAAGTCTGGCAAAGACAGGGGGCTCAGGACTCTGGGAAAAAACTCCCAGTCACAAGCCGCATCTTCAAATCTTTGACATAAGCATGAGTTGACAGGCTCTACCCTCGGCAGCCTGTGGAGCGCTTTGTTGGGCTGCATTTGATCGTACGCTTCTTCAGCTCGACCAAGTCCTAGCTGGGTGCAGAGCAAGGTCCCACCTTGGACTTTCAAGGAATTGAGAGGCTCCTCGTCACTGATGCCCCACTCTCCACGCAACTGGCACGAGGTCGGCACGTTCTCCAGCTCCTCCAGCAGCGCAAGGCTCAGGTCATTGCCAAAGCAACGAAACTCTGCACCATGGCTCCTCCAGAACTTGCTCCTGAAACGAAGCTGCTGCTCTATGCGGTGCCGCCTCTTAAGTCGCCTCTCCCAGCCGCATTAGCCCTGGCCTCCAAGTTGTTGCTCAGCCTCCGGGCCTGGAGCCGGGAGGTCCCGGAGGTCCCGCTTTCACGGCGGGAAACTGAATGCTTTCTCTGCCTGCCTGCTCTGCCACTGAGCGGGACATCGTCTTAGCATCCTCCACCATCAAAGATTTCCTCACCGTGAGCGCCACTGGAGCCTGGCACAAGAGCCAAACTGCAGCCTCGGCTTCTACCTATGAACCCACAAGCCCAAAAAGCACGACAATCCGCGGCGGAGCCGAGCCAGCCTCTGTGTTGGGATCGACGTCTGCACCTGACACAGGAGCTGTCACGAATGTCTTCCCGGCTTCCAGCTGAACGCAACCGAGGGACCTTCGTGTCTGCTTGGCCGTCGAGGCATGAGTGTGTTCCGTTCACCCGGACCTGCACTTTCAAGTGCTGGCGAGGCCAAGGCACTCGGTAGGCTCTGAACCAGATTATTCTGGCTGAATCTGCTAAAGTGACGGAGAATTTCCTCCATCTGCTGTCCAGGTATTTTGACTTTGGCTGCATCAAAAGACAACGCGGCGCCCGAAGCAAGCATCCGCTGCACGCTCTGCTCTCTCCTCAGCGTGAGGCCCTGAACTCGCAAAAGCAGGCGTTGCCTCCACTCTGTGCCCTTTTGAGCAGCGAGGGGCCCTTGCCTGAGCGGAGAGAACCCCCTCAAACTCGAGAAGGCTAGGACTCATGAAGCCACCACATCTCCCAAGGGCTTAGTGCAGAGATGAGCAAACTAAGCTCTTCGAAGATTTTCGCCAAGCACTTCAATTGTTCTGAGCGGAGTAGGGAGTTACCGAGGTATTTCAACGATCGGAGCCTCAACCCCGACCTTCAAGCGGTCCCCCCTAACTCCCACAACCTCCAAATGTCCTTCGCGTCAGAATTCGGACAGAGCACTCGAAGCTGCGTGCACCGGAGAGACAGGGGTAAAGTCGGAATTGTCGGGATCCTGCTCCGAGCGTTGAAGTGTGTCTTGTTCTTGCAAAAGCATGCAAAGCAGCCAGATGCGCTGCCACTGTTCAGGCTTTGGATCTTTGCCCTGCATGGATGGCGATGGCACTGGCCTTCTTCAGGGAGAAACTGCTTCTGTCTTTCCCTGCCAGACATGGCGCCAGGGTATCCGCAATTGACTACCGAGAGACTTGCTTCGTGCTCACAGACCCGAAGGACGTGTATCTCGTGCTGTGCAACGAGAGCGGTGGACTCATTACTTTCGCATCTATCTAATTCCATGGTCAATCGAGAAGCTGCAGTCTATAGATGCATTTCCCACGCTTGCTCTCTTGCTGTATTAAGCTCGACTGGCCTTGTCCCGTCGCAAAGCTCTGCGCGCTGAAGCTCTGCGCGCTGCAGGGCGAAAGGCTGATGCCTGAAAGCTGCTGTGCACAACCGCTCCGGTGCCGTGCTGTGGTTGCACATCGCTTTTCATCTGCGGGAGAAGCTCAGATATTGTTGTATTTGCACCACGCGAGCGCATGCCAAGTGCAAAGGCCTGGAGCAGATACAGTGGAGCGGACGGATAGCACTGAAGATCGGCGGCTAGCGCCGCATGCGCCGGATGCGAGAGACACCTCTCTCGCATGAGCCTCGACGAGCTGCTCCTCTCATGCTTGCAACCATCCCCAAAAGCTAAGTTGGCTTCGAGCGATACCGTTTAATGCAGGTTTGTGTAGACTGTGGAGCCACTCCGGCTGTGCTGCGGAGGGTGCTGACACCTCTTTCATGTCTTGCTGGCTGTGCCTGTCAGCCTCGAGTTGTAGTTGGGTCTTCTAAAGAGAAAGAAGCCCACGAAACTCAGTCCTGGAGCTGCCTCAAATCCTCGGCGAGCTTGGCAAACGACACAGCCGCAACCGGAATGCACGTCACCTTGCAATGCTCAAATCATCGTTATTTTGCTTCTCCCGACGTTGCGAGAATGATTCTGATGATTATGCACGTCCTGATCTTCATTGTCATTGCCATTAAGCGAAGCATGTAATAATTCTATGTAGCATGTATGACTATACGACATGCAGTGGCAGGAATAGCGGTGCTGGAATAGTGGTGGTGGCGGCAGCGGTACGATGATGATGGGTGATGATGACGATGGTGTCGATTATGCTTAGCACTGCCGCAAGCCGTATTGTTGATCTTGTGCTTAAGTTTGCTATGCTTACCCAAACCTACTATATTCACCTACGTCAACCGCAGCACGCGGAAGCACCTCTTCAGCCAGGACCTCCGCCGTCTCCTCCACGTTTGTTCCATCCTGTCATGGCTCAAGCTGTCAAACCACAAATGATTATACACATATACAGATAAACACATCGATATATATGTATATATACACACACATATAACTAGGAAAACAAGCTATACCGCTGAATGTTCCAGATAATAATTCAAGTACAAGGAAGCGTGACATGTTGAACCAGCCATAGTACTACTACCCAGGCTAAGAGGTGTTGAGGACAGTTCCCTTACGCCTACTATGTACCAACTGTTACTTAGTCAAGCCATCCGAACACTCACAAGTCATCATTTTAAGTATTGCCTATAACCCTCCAACCACAGCTAACATACTAACTATTGCTGCTATTAAACCATCCGAGCACGCCTCAAAACTACGGTAGATTTAATGTGAACCCTGCAATATCGAAGAACTATTCAGTAAGGTAGTATTAGTGTATCCAAACACCTGTGTAAATTTTCGTTCGATGATGATATTAACCTATGTTATATCGTATTCAATACTACATGAGTAGTGGTACTTGCATTTTTGTTAAGCATATCTGCAAAATCTAAGCGAGAATGTGCTTAATACTCGTGCAATATTTGATGCTCAGATTGAACTCAGCCAGTACTCCATCACTCTTTCTGAGCTCTGCTGGCGTGGCACCTAACTCGACAAAGCTCGATGACAAGCAAGCTTTACATTAAAACTCCGCCATCTGCAATAACCAGTCAGGAGCCTTTGTTCTTGGCGGATTTTTCCAATTTCCAATTCATCTTGTGTCATAAAAGGCTGACTAGATACCCAAACATGTGATCTCGAGATTCTGTGAAAATCACACGATGGTTGTGATGCTGCAGTGGTGAATGCATTCACACATGTATGAATATCTTTTTGTAATGGAAATAGAACGGAGTAGTATATACTCTAGCTTTAACTGAAATATACCGGACAACTTCCTAGATCATGAGGCAGTATGGGCCAGAGAGAAGTGAGAAAACGATTCCCGTATGCTTGCCGGATATGCAACGATGGTTTAGTTGTCCTTTGTAAATCAGGGCCTGTGAAGAAGTAGGGTGAACATGCTCATTGCATCGCTATGCTGCTGGACTGACCTTACCTTGCACTTTGAATGACACTGCACCGAGACTGGGTATCGTAGCCTATCCGATGGCAGCTACACCTCCTAGAATAACAATCGCTGCACATGCTTTTCTGCAAACGATGTCATGTGCATCTCAGACATGCCGGCATCAGCAGCTCGGAAATATGTCCCTCTGGATTGTTGAATCCCGGTCGTCGTGCTCATTGAATTTCAATATACATATTGAAAGACGCTGACTTGTTCTGCAACCCATTGAAATTCAAGATCCAAGATTCACACAAAGAGTTGCTGGAAAATCTCGGATCTTCTACCGGATCCAGGAATCCTACAGGTAGGTTCAAGATTCACCAGAATCGATTGAGGAGCATAGGGGACCTTTCCCCCAAACAACATTTTAGAACAGATACTAAATACTTAATACTGAAACAAAACACGCACCGGATGCAAGATCTATAAATAAATAATAAGTAGATATATATATATATATATAAATATATATATATATATATATATATATATATGTATATATGCACTTGTGTTGATTCAAGAACTGACAACCTCAACAATTGTGTGAATAAGGGCATATACTCGAGAATTGTGCTTTCATTCTGCATTTTAAGCTCATGCACGTTCCGCAGAACCGTCCTGCACAACTTACTAACAAAATAATGCTGATGAAAGACTCATGACTTACTTTGGACCTGCTCAGCGTCGTCTCCAGAAGTGAGAAGCGGAGGTGGCACTTTGGGCGGAAGGGCAATCATCCCTCCGCCACATCTCGGAGCTTGGCTGCAAACTGCGGCAAATCAGCGACATCTGACAATCATGCATAAATACCGGATGACTTGGATCATGCCGGCAATAGCACCGGAAATATTGCAAGGACAAGGCGCACGGAGCTGAGCTGCTGATGGCTGTACTTTGATCGCATTGGATGGAAGGTGGAGTGAGGACCAGGGTGCTGATGACGATGATGATGAAGATGATGTTCATAACAATGATCATCATGACGCTTCCTGCTCCTCCTCGTGAACCACTCCCACTGATTCCAGCAAGGCTGTGCTGGGCCCGTCTGGGCTTCCTGAGTCGCATGCATGGCCGCTCCACAAGTCGTCGCGCAGCCTGGTGGACACTCTGGCAGTTCGTGGTCGTGGTGCTGGTATCAAGCGTTGCAGAACCCTCGGACCAAGCTGTGAAACAAGTGGAAAGTAGAAAGCTCGAGTGAGCTGTACTGAGTGAGTGAGCGAAAATCACGAAATATATGTATGTGTATATCTATATATAAAAGAATATATATATATATATATATATATATATATATATATCATACAGAAACGAAGTTGACCCGCGGCAACACAAGGTCAGGCAAAGCCGTTCCATGGCACAGACAAGCAAAAGGAAAACGGAGCCCCGGCAACTCCGGGTGCGGTTATGCCGCCCCCCCCCGGCGCGGACAGGCGAAGAGATGCGGCAAAGCTGCTCCCGGGCTCCGTTGGGCAAGGGAAATCATCGAAAGGAACAGGCTCTGTCAGGCGGAGTCAAAGGATCAGGGATCTTGAGCAGTTTTGGCACTGTTAGTGGCAGTCGTCGGTGTAGCAGCGGCAGCAGCGGCAGCGGAAGCGGCAGTGGCAGCAGTAGCAGCAGCAGCAGCAGGAGCAGAAGCAGGAGCAGGGCAGGAGCAGGAGAGCAATAGCGGCAGCGGTAGCGGTAGCATAGTGGTCGTAGGAGTAGTAGTAGTAGTAGTAGTAGTAGTAGTAGTAGTAGTAGTAGTAGTAGTAGTAGTAGTAGTAGTAGTACTTGTACTAGTACTAGTACTAGTACTAGTACTAGTAGTAGTAGTAGTAGTAGTAGCAGTAGTAGTAGTAGTAGCAGCAGCAGTAGTAGTAGTAGCAGTAGTAGGAGGAAGAAGAAGAGTAGTAGAGTAGTAGAGTAGAACAGTAGAGTAGTAGAAGGAGTAGAGGAGTACAGTAGTAGTAATACTAATAGTAGTAGTAGTAGTAGTAGTAGTAGTAGTAGTAGTAGTAGTAGTAGTAGTAGTAGTAGTAGTAGTAAAAGTAATCATACTGGTAATAGTCATAATACAAAAAGAACTAGGCCTCTCGTGATGCACACACTCTTCTTCATGGGTTATCGCTTTTGGGCAGGCGCCTTATCGTTCTGCAAGGTAAACTCTAAGGCCCGTATGCCCAGGTAGGCCCACAGACTAATCTTATGACGGAGAGAAACGCCTGTAGCTCAAGTACTAAGTAGTCGTAGGAGTAGTACCCGTAGCAGCAGCAGTAGCTGTGGAAGACAGCACAAGCAGCAGCAGCAGCAGCAGCAGGAGCCGGAGCCGGGGAGCAGGAGCAGGAGGAGGAATCTTGACTATGAGTGATGCTACTGCTAGCTATTCTCGTTGCGTGAGTACATGCTCTTGCTGTGCTGCTCAATTGGCAGATGGTAACACAGTCACGAGTACTTCCTCCGGTCAGGAATGTTACTGCAGCGCAATACTGCATACCTGCAACGCATACTGCATATTGATTGATTGATTGATTGATTGATTGATTGCCTGTGGGTGCGAACCCTTGCACTTGAAAGGCAACAGATGCTGCTCCGTGCTGTACACACAGACAGCGCTCACACACTCGACGACTCGACGGCTGCACACGGGCAGAGTTGCGGACAGCTCTGCTCAGCACAAACAACTGGACATGGGCATAGCATACTGCATGCCTCACATCCGCTTTCTTTAGCTTAAGCGACTGCTCCTTCATGCAGACTGGCAAAGAAACATACAGTTCTTCAGAATACTAGTTGAACCGCCTGATGCCACTGCTCCCCCGACTTCTCGAAGTGCTCGACGGACGCCAGAGCCTGCGACTCTCTGGACAGCTGCGATGCCATTCAATGCAATCACCGTGACATACCGTGACCTTGTGCCGTGGCTAACCAAAACGAGGATGCTGGAAACAAAAATCGCAAACCCCATCAAAGATCACAAAACTCCACGACCCTTGGAACAAAGTGCTGGCTGCCCCAGCATCCGGCACAGAGACACGTCCCTGACAGATGTCCCCTGACTGGCGTGCCTTTGCTACGTTCTTGGACATACGCCTGCACCACCTTCGCCGAGTCGCTTAACCGAGCCAAGACGGACTGAAAAAGGAACTGAGCTGTTCGATTGCCTATGCTGCCTGGGCACGTGCAAGGGATAGTCCACGGAGAAGCCGCAGAAAATGATGAGCGACACTGCCTGCTTCACTTTGAACCAATTTATAACCAATTGCAACAACCTCCAACCTCCTCGAGTCCGGCAGACTCTTTTTTGGCCTCCATCAGCCCGAATCTCCACTGAAAGATGTTCGTAATGAAGAACAGGCCTCGGATTGCAATCAGGCTCTTGGCTGTTGGCAAAGATGGAGCCCCAACTCCACCCGGACTTGGGCGTGCACTGCAAGCCGCAGTGGACAGCATCGCGAAGCAGGCGATGCCCTCGGTTGGGGACGCAGTAGACCGAAGTCAGCCGGAGCAGGAAGTGTTGGAAGCTTGGAAATGACGGTCCTATCGCCCTCTGCAAGGATGCAAACAAGGGCACGGAGAGCCAAAGACTGCGCGTGAAGGCCCCTAGCGCCACCAAAGCCTCGAGGAGGCAACAGCCAAACATCCCCAGACTAGGCAGCTATGCCCGGCTATGCAATAGTAAGTCCTCCACACAAGCCACACTGACGATCCACGAGGACAGCGCGGAGTTCACGACACGATTCTCTGCCTGCAACTTTGCTCGAAGCAGGCCTGCCACCTCGATTCATCGAAGTTGTGGTGCATGGGAAAGCCTCCGCCCGCTGGAAGAGGTCAGACAGCGGCCTGAATACAACTCGGCTTAAGTCTCGAAGGAAGTCACTGCCTTATCTTCGAAGAGGCCTTGGCCGGAGTTGCGCTAACTTCTTGAGGCCACGGCAACGGCATTCCCAAACAGTTCTCGGAGCCTGACTCACATCTCTACCCAGCATCCACTGCATGGCACCGCAATCATTACAAGTCAAGAAGGATGGCAGCGAACCAGCCGCGACAAGCACGCATGCAACAGCGACTCGTGCCGTTCGGCCCTCGGCCGGTTTTTTTGCCCTCTGGCTGCAATTTCTCGCGGACAGCCGTCGCCAGGGTCTTCAGTGAGGCAGCGCTGCCTGGAAGAGGCTCCTGAAGTCCAGTGCTGAGCTTTGGGATTCAGCGATCTCTCGCGCCCTGGCTTTGCCAAATGCCCGTCCTCCGAACCCCACTGGGCGAAAGCAGTAGCGGCCTGCAGGACCGCGGCTGCTTGTCACCCAACCCCCTTCTTTTGCTCCATCTCCTTACATGTAGGCTTGCGAAGTCGACCCTCATCCCTCTGCCCGGTACCTAGGACCTAGGAATTGAAACTGTCGTCGAGGTCGCGAATCCACAAACAGTGGAAGAATCTCTGAACCTACACTTTCACCCTTTGGTACGAACACCCCAAGCCCTCCCCGAAGCGCACCAGTGCCAGAAGGGCTGCTCGTTGCCGTAGCTTTTTGTTGCTGCCGATGCCCAGACCTCGGAGCCTCGAACGCTTGCTTCGCGCATCGGGTGGTTTTGATACGCGAATTAACTTTACGGCTTTGGGACATGTCGCTCTGTTCCGGTTGCTCGTTTTCGCCAACTACACACTCAGGAAGGCGGAGCTGGGCTTTGAAGATCCAAGCGGCCCTGCATGTGGGCCGCTGGCCGCAGTAAGGAGTGTTGACCGGCTCGCACCCCACAAACCGCCTTTGCAGGCAAAGGGGGACCCAGCAGTTGCCTGACATCCTTTCGTGTGCCTTGAAAGGGACGCTATGTGCCTCTCGGAATGAAATGCATTGGATTGTCAGACTTGTCAGATTGCAGCTTTCACGTTCTCAGCCTCGAAGGTGCCGTGGCGAGCACAGCCTGTCCCTACGGAAGATCTGCTGTCCGGCTGATTGCGTCAGGCCACCGATCTCGCATAGGGCGTCGCTGATGCTGGGGTCGTCCTCACCTTCGTGACCCCAAAATCCTAACAGCTTCGATATGAAGGGCACTCACGTATCCGGGCCCCGCACGTTCGATCCACGAGTCAGCCCCGTGGGTCTCCAACAGGTAATAGGCCAAGTGCGATGCTTCCTGTAAGATCCTTGTAGACAAGGATGACCACTCGACTGTTGAACCCCATCAGAAGCAGCAGCCCCTGCAAAGCCCTAGCCAGCTCTGTCTCATGAGCGGAAAACTCCCGCTTGCAATGACGTCAGAAAACCGCGAAACCAAGACATCCAAGTCTGGCAAGCTGCGCTGCATCTTCCAGCTCACCAATGCACAGAAGCCATTCACATCGCTCGCCTCCAGACGAAACAGCATTGGCCTTTGAACTCCAAAGCTTCTGTCCTGGCCCCTGGCCGGGCCTCGAGTCACGGTCACCACGAAAGCCTGTCCTGCGTCCCACTGCAAGGGCTCCTGGTAGCATTGAAACAGCGGGCTGCCTTTCTGACCCTACTGCTTCAACTGATGCCCAGCGCCTTGAAGTCCTGGGGTTGCGGCTGCTTCGTCCTGGACACCTGCAAGTTTCTCCTCTCACACCAACGCTGCCTAGGTCATTTCTCAGCGGCTTCGGGCAATGATAGCCACGCAAATCTTTGAAAAAACGATGGAGGGTGCGAGGAGGATTGACCCGGATTCGTGTTTCTTGTTTCGATATGCTCTGCAACCAAGTGCATCATCACACAATGCATACTGGAGACTCTATACTGTGTCTGTTCTAGGCGAATCCGTCCACCGGTGCACGAAAGCCTTTTCTTCCTCTTTCAAAACCCTGGCAAACTTGGTGCAAGCGAAGCTTCTACAAATTTAGAGGCTTGCATCACTGTTTGACAGCTTCATATATCGTTGAAGCAGTTGTATCACGCACGTAGATATGGGTCGAACCTGCGAGCACGTTGCAAACTGCATCATAATTAAGATCAAATACAGGAAGCATCACTTGCAAGCTATCTCCCAGAGAAGATTGGCATAAGACACGAGCATCTTTACTTTCCGCTTACAAAGTCTGCCACAAACCAAACTTCAGGAAGCAATCTCAATCACAGACTTGCACTTGAAGCCATGCTGCTGTGCTGGCTGGCCGTTTCTTTCCATGCTGTCTTTTTCTTGCATTTCCAAAGCCCCCTTTATGTTCTATGCGAGCACCTAGACCTACCAATACCGCAATGCGCTGAAGGCTCTTTTCCGGCAGTTTCATACGCACTGCCTTGCTTCTACTTTGCTTCTGGGCAGCACGGACTACACAATGTGACACGGCGTAATGCTGTTGCGACCTCCCGGCGGTCGCGCGAACTCGAGTCAGGGTCCTGTCTCGCAGCTTCGGATAGTCTGTGTGCCGCAAAAGCCGAAGGCAGCAAGCTGCGCTCGAGTCCCAGCGAATTTTCGGGTAGATGGCCGAATGGGAAAGGTGGTGCGGGAGCTGGAAAGTCTGCGGCGCGCGGCGCAAGACGCGATGCTGACGGCCGAGGGCAACTGCCTAACGAATCCAACTAGCCGTAGTTGCGGCGGTGGATGAGAGCCATCTCGCCCAGCAGCTTACTGATTTCTTTGGAATCCTGGATAGATGCTGCCGCCCCCTTCCTTCTTGGTTGCAGGAGGACGTGCAGTGACTGCTAGGATGGGGAAGCTTTTGAATTCTCCGCATGACAACCGGACGCATGGGCCAGAGTGCATGCCCAAACCTGGTCAAATCGTAAGGCTTTGTCGTCGCCGTCCTCGCCAACGTCGTCGACATCTCTGAACTCTTACGTTTAGTGACGCGTCGTTCTTGTAGTTTCAACCACGCTGACTTGACGATGCTCCCGGGCGTTTGCTGACAAGTCTGTGCATGCAAGTGTTGGGGGCATATCCTATTGCCAGTGCCAGTGCCAGTACTATTACTTCTGCTTCTTCTACCTCTTTACTGCGATTGGTACACAGTACTAGTACTGAGCACTGGTAGTCCTGCGTTCGGGCTCGTGGCTTCTGTCAGGCTCATGTTTCAGCCGCAGTCGTGCTTCTGCCGGCGCAAGTTGCACAGCAAACTTGTCTCCAGCCCTCACAAGCACTTCTGGCCTCTGGGTGCTTCTGGTAGCGGAGCTTCCGCAAGTACTTCTTCATTGCCTCAGGAAGCCTGAGCCACAAGTGAAGCCCTTGCCTGGCCTGCATGCACACTCTTGAATTGAAGGACTATGTTGCACAGACCCACGACAGCAAGCGACCGAGCATTGAAGTTTCCGCTGCTTTCAACAGTGAAGTGCACCTGGCCAGCCGAATCTGGCAAGGGGCTACAAGTAGGAGATGTTCCTGGCAGGATCCCGCTAAATCAGGTGGCCTCACAAAGTGAAGCCGCAGCTTGCACCCAGTGCCTCTGCTAGAGGGAACGGATTCTCACAGCTTCGAGCTATTTCAGGTCATCCGTTTATCCAACGTGTTAGCATCGGAAACAGGAAGCAGCCCAGGACCGTTCACCTTTAGATTTGACGCAAACAAAATACACCGGGCATGACACAAGGGAACAGACATGAAGGGAGCAATGCAAGCAAGCACAGAGACCGATGCTGCAGGCTGGCGGTGATAATCTTTCTGCTTTAAGGCATGGAGAGGGTAAGTGGCATCTCCGTACAGACAAAAAACCCACCAGCATTCGCTTTGTTTCCTAAACGCGAATGACTTTGAACCGCACAGTACCCAAATATAGGGGAACGGCTGTTTATGTAATGTCATCTTTGCTGTTGACTTGGCACGACTCTTCGAACATGCACACACACTGTCTTTCTGCGCTACGCACTGAATTTCGACGCCATCGTGTCGGAGAATGCATTCTTTCGTGCGAGATTTAAATCTTTATAAACTCCACCAGCACAGTGCCGAAAATCGACGAGTACTGAAGCAGGCCTGAATTTTAACTGCGTTGGATTCTGAAAAAGTCTGGCCGCTTGTACTCCATCTGCAACGTCCATGGCCATGATGCCTGCGCTCCCATGGCAATCTGGCAGTTCTCTCTTGCCCAGCATACTTCAACTGTAGCTTCTGCTGGCTGCGAAGAGCCTCACCAGCCCTTGCCGGAACGGCGAAAGCGCATTCGTACCTTTGTGCAAATAGAACTTGTGATGCGATAAAGAGATATGAAGCTGCCAGTGCGTCTCAGTGACTCAGCAGCAACTCGAACAACCTGAGAAGGCTCTTATTCTTCTTCTCTTTCTCTCCCCGCTGCACGCTCTGCCTCCGCCCCGTCGTCCAAGGATGCCCGGTGAAGCAGCAGTCCAGTGGACTGGGACTCCACCTTGCCCAAGAAGCGCTAGCGGGTAGAGGATGGCAGAGAAGGGGTGGGGAGCAGGCGAGGAGGCTGGCCTCGGCCTCGGCATCGTCGTACACAATCAATATCACCTTCAAGCCGAGGTCCTTCAGCCAGGCTCTAAGCGCTGTCCCTCACTGCACAGTGGGAGACAAAAACGCTGAACGTGAGAACTCTTTCGTAGATTCGCGAGGAGCTGAGAGTCGAAACCTCCGATCGGGGGCACTGTGTCAGGGGATAACGACACCACCGGCTCTGAACTTCGCGAGCTCTGCCAAGCTCTCACCGGAGTCGGAGAGCCCTTCTTGGCGCCGAAAAGCAAAAAGGAACGGACCTGGACCTAGACGTCTTGTTCTCCACAGGGCTCGCGGATCTCGTCAGCCGCACTGTAACAGTACTTCTACAACCGGCTTGCAACAAACAGAATGTGCCCAATTTCAGGAGTCCGTCCGTCTGCGAGCCCTCTCCTGGAGCTTCTTGACAGCATCTGTAGGCTGAAGGCCAGACTCGCCAGCTGCTTTGTGCACAGTGCAGCTGTCCTCGGTGAGAGTGCGACTGTGCTCCTCATAATTGCTTAGGCCTTAGAGTTAGCGAAGTGTGACGTCGGCACAAACGCAAACGGGCGGCAATCACACAGATCCCCAACTGAAGCGAGTTCAGGAGCTGCTTTGCGCTGAGACCGGCCATGGCCATGTACTCCAGCGCAGCATCTCGCTGAGGAATCTGCTGGCAAAGGTAGCTACTTCGGCGGGATCGTCTGTTGCTAATCCGGTTGCATTCAGTCGAATGGCTTGAGCTTCGAAAGCAGCGTTAGCAGCAAGCATCCTGCCAGCAGCGCAATCAGAAAGCACCTTGAGAATTTGGGCCAGCAAGAAGCCAAAAAAAAACGGGGCCCAGACCCCTGTACTTCTGTGTAACCTCGTTAAAGACACGCTTGGCGGTGTCTTCCTTAGTGGAGTTGAAACCTTGCGGAGGCTCACTCACGTTGTGGCTCCAAGAGGGCGGCCCAGAGGTCCATGTAGGGCCTGGGCCAACGCGGACTTCTCGTAGACTGCAGACTGCCTTTCTTCGGGCCTTTCTCCGCCGAGGCAAGGGCTGGACCTGGCGCCCTGAGCTCCAAATGTCGAACTCCACGCGGTAGTCCAGCTGCACCCTGGCTCGGAGGCTCCGGCCGAAGCTCGAGCTCGAACGGCGTGAAACGCAAAGAAAAAGCCCCCCGCCAGGATACGCTGCCATCCTCGGCCTCGGACCAAGGGACATCCGGCCTGGACGGCCATACGGCCCGAGGATGGCACGAAACCCACGTGGTCCGCCTCACCCCTTACCTGCACAAGAGACAGCAGACAACTAGCAGCAAGCGTGGCGTCTCACATCTCCCAAGTCCCAATTCCAAGCCTGGGCCAGAAAGTTTTGTACAGCCGGCCATATTGCATACGTGGGGAACTGCTCTCCTCTTCGCCTCAGACGACGGGTCGCGCAAGCACTGCGTCGAGACATGAGAAACAAGACGGTTCTGAAACACCAGGGTCCAAAGGCTCAACAGCAAATGCTCGGCACTTTCGGTCGGCTACATCAAGCTGAACATCGGAGAGATCTCTTCTCAGAAATCCGGGCTTCCTGCAGCAGAAAGTCCTGGCCAGAGTGTGGCGTGACTAGTGCATTGTTCCAAACCAAATCCCATCTACTGGTAAGTGTCATGGTATCGTGTGTCGGCCTTCAACTTCGATGGCCAGCAGCTCCACTGCCCTTTGACAACCTGGCGGAAGGATCCACAGGGAATCATGATCTATCATGATCCTAATCCTGCCTTGAGCTGTGCTTCCTGTCGCAAGCGCTGGCAGAATTCGACGATGGCCAGCTGCGCCTCGTCGACTCGACCAAGACCAAGGCTTCCCGCTCCGTGCTTGGCGTGGCGCCTCCCGGCGAGACAAGTCGAAGCTTTCGTCGAGCTCGTAGGCGTAGGCGCTGCCAAGGCCCCCGGTCACCTCCCCGGAATGCGAGAAAGCCCCTCGCTGCGGCGATCGATCTTCTGCTGCCTCTCGCACACCCAAGAGAACGTGGATCACGGCCTGACCTGACAGCAACGAGCCGTGCTTCGGCTCCCGGCTCAAACCCGTGCCGAAAGCACTCTGCTACTTCTAGGACTCTGGCGGTCGTGAGGCATTCCCCGCGGCTGGAGATGGAGCTGCATTGCCTCAGTCCGGATTTCTCCCAGCCAGTGTTGCCTTTGCAGCCGGTCTGGGTGGCTGCGAGAAGTCTGTGAGAGCACCAACCAGAATTTGCCGTGTGAGGGTCTCAGTTCCCGAAGATCTTTAGAAAGATTCGCCTAAGGTGTTCACAGCTGGTTGCCAAGCGTCCTGCAGAGACTCGTATTTTGACGAGTCCTATCATGTCTTCAACTGTTCCAAACAAGACTCATATGACCTCGTTCGCCACTGCACTTGTTACTCGCACAGTGAGCCTGAGGGGCCTCTCAGCCGACTGGACTGAGCCGGGGGCTGTGGAAGACGTCGTGGAAGTCGTGCTGGGCCTGAAAATGCTTCTGTGCTGCTATGCTGCTAGATGTGCTGCCATGTGGCAAGACGCAACAAGGAGCAAAAGCGATCGACGCTAAGGCGCCGGCCTTAACTTCGAGGACACTGCTGTAGTTGCCTCGGGTCGAACTTTCGGACTATAACAAACCAGCAAAGCAGCAGGGCAGGGGTTCGACAAGCTTAGCTGAGGACGGGCGCAAGCTTTGCTGATGTGGATGTTGCAGGCACAGCTGACGGCAACGTGGTCAGCTTCGACTGTGTTGGAGGAATGGTGGTACGTCGCGTGTGTGGTGCTTCCGGATGTGATGTTGCCGGACCACGGGTTGGTGGTGAAGTTGTTGCAGCCGGTTGGCGAGTGGAAGAGGGTTTTGTAACTGGGGGCTGCGGGGACTGTGGGCTTGCATGGGTTGCATGCGGCGGGTGTAGAGGTGCCTGCGGCTGCGGTGGGTGTGGCTTCTGGGTTGGTGTGGGCGCCGTGGGCGCTTCGGCTCCGAGGAGGGAAAGCAGATCCTTATGCTGGCGAAGATACTCCCGGATCTCTCGCTCCTGGGTCGCATGCGCAGTGTTACACTTCGAAGTTCCACAGACAAGAACTGCCTTCTCTGGGGTGACGTGCTGGAAATGAAGAGTCACCTCGAGAGGCAGCAGCTGAGAGTGGCTTCTTCAGAGCAGCCCTGTCTCAAAGCTCTCGGAGGGTGCCTCGTATTGGCCCTCTTGCAGGCGGCGACCGTCCAGGACCTGAAGCGGCTTGAAGCCCTGAGATGCCCTGAGAGTGAGTCTCCGACTGATGCCGCTTGGTCCGTGTCCTCAACCGGCCTTAAGCTTCTTGATGTTGAAGCTGAGGTCTTCGGGCGAAAGCCGCAAGCTCTCCACGATCTGGTCCTGAACTCCGCACGTTCGACACCATGGCGGTAGCGGTGATGACGTGATGCATACTTGAGATGCTCTTCAGCTCCCGGCTCGCACGAGATCCTCAAACTCCTGAAGACGAGGCGGGAGCTCGTCGGGAGCTCAAGCTCGCAAGCTCAGCCGACCGTGTCACGCAGGGGGACCCCGGGGGGCGGGCCCCCCCCCAATGGCCCCCCCCGGGGGGGGGCCCCCGAGAAGGGCCCCCGGAGGGCCGCGCTGCCTGGATGTCCGCAATGGAGTGGCCCTTCACCTCGCGGGGCGGATGCGCAGCGGATGGCCGCAGCTGGCGCTGTGCTGTGCCGGCCTCGAGCTGCAGGTCGAAGCCTTTCGCGGCGACTGGGGCTGCCTCGGATTGGGATTGAGCTCGGCCCCCCTCGAGTTCCCACCCCGAGTGCCCAAGATGAGCCGAGAGCGGCAGCAGGCGAAGGCGAAGGCCTCACCAAAAGCGAGGAGCATGGAAACAAAGACAGTGCAGCATTGCAATGTCGTCCACCTCTCAGAAGGTGCGACTGGCCGAAGCGTCGGCTGTGGACTCGGGCATTCCCGCGCATTGCCGAAGTCATTCTCCCCTCCAAGAGACTCAGAGGCTGACTGTGGCTGAGGCTGAGGGTGTTTTTGTGATGGCGGCAACGGCCTTGCAGAAAACAAGACATCGAGGCGGCGAACGGAATGGGGGATGGGCGCCTCCTTGCGGCACTTCCTGAGACCACGGCCGAGGCGGCGAGGGCGGCGAGGGCGGCCAAGGCATCGAGCCGCCGCCGGGCCCCGGCCTGAGCAGAACAGCGCAGCAAGAACGGCGGAATCTTCTGTCATGGGGGACGGAGATCTCTTTTGAGCGCTTGAGCGCTTCGCAGGTGAAGCGGCGGTGGCTCTGTTGGCGGTGCCACGGTCGCTGTTGGCCTTGGACCGTGTCATTTTCCAGCCGTAGTCTACTAGACACAGGGAAAGGGCCCGCACCCGCTGCTCTCCCCGTCGCAGACAAGCTTGGCATCCTGCGCCCTGCCATGGCAAAGCTTGAGCTCCTGCAGGCCGTGCACCCTGAAACTAGTAAAGCCGTCCGTTCGCTGGCGATTTACAGGGTATACATGCATGCGCAAACTTCAGCAGGAGGGATGGGCATGGACCCCTCTCCGTCGACTCAATGCTTGTCTCGTTGCCGAAGCGCCTGACGATGCAGAAATTTGAGCTTCATGGCTCAAAGCGCAACATCAAGCCAAGTCACATCTGAAGCTCCTGCAATCCGCCGAGATTGCTGTCCTGCAGGATTGACATTTACAACTTTCCGGCTTTGGAATCAAGGTCTCACGTCCGATGTCCTCGGGGAAAAACTTTGGCAGACCGTTCGAAGGGCGCAGGTTGCGAACCTGAGCAGATGGCGATGCCTGGAAAAACACTGCTGGAGTGACCCGATATCTCGTTAAGTCTCGGGCAGCTGAGTGAAGAGCATAGACACTCCCCTGAGCTGAGCAGCTGCACTGCTCTGAGGCAACGACTCCCTGTGATCGATTCCGAGTGCCGAACGCCAATGCCAAGGAAGCTGACGCAGAATGCCAGCATCTGCTCAAGTCAGACGCAGTGCTGCAGCGCATCCCTCGACTTTCCCAGAATCGAGCCTTAACTGCAAGGCCACCTCCGAGGCTGCCCTGGAAGAGCCATCGGCTGTCGGCTTCTAAAAGCTTTCCTTCTAGGTGCGAAGATGTGCGAAGCCCTGGCCTTCGAGGAGGCTCGCCGGACGACATCCCCTGACAAGCGAATGCGACAGGCGCGCAGGAAGTCCGCTAGAAAGTGCAAGTGCCTGGAGAGCGTCCGGCGGAGCCATCCTTCCGTGCAAGGCCGGTCCAAGCTCGTGGAGATGCGACGGGGCTACGGTGCTGAGCTCCTCCACGTCCAGGTCTGTTCCTTGGCAGCTCTCGACCAGCTGCTCCTGCACAGATCATCTCGAGATCCGCCGCCAGACTCCGCCAGACTGTATGGTCACTCGCTTCGAAGGGAAGCGATGCATCAAAGATGCGGCATGGAAGCCCAAAATCGCTGGTTGGATTTCAGGTTCTGCTCTAGAAATTGGACAAGCCTCCATGGGCGAGGACTGCTCGGCTTCGATGAGGGCTCCTCAAACAGAAGGCTGCAAGACGCAAGACCCAAAGTCAAGCTAGAGAGAAACAAGGCACAGTCTCTCGAGTGCAAAATGCATTCCTTTGCAGGTGGAACGTTCGTAGTTCACCAGGATAAGCGGGTACCTGGGCTCTGGCGTCACATCAAAGACCATTTCGACAGGATTGTTGAGGAGATCTTACTTGTTCAAAAGGAGGCTGAACATAATTCATTGTGATCATTAGCCCAGCCGCATCACCGCAACAAGGATCCAATTTACCTCGCGGGCAGCAACAGCTCAGCGCGCTCGTACTCGTGAAGTAGGAAGCCAAATTCTGTCTGCAGGAGTCTGCCAAGCTGCCGTGATGCAAGTGCCCATGAAGAAGCCGAATTGCCGCAAGGGACCAATGGAACTGGGCGCTGCACCCAGTGGGATCTTTGTCAATCCAGACTGCTCTGAACATACCACCAAAACATCCGAAACTTGACCCAAGTCCACAGTTCTCAGCGACGCCTTGGATTGGAAGCTCCTTCACCAGCTAAGGGAAAGACCTGGCCAGGTTGGCAAAGAAGGACGCGGCCGTCGTGGCCTTGGCTTCAGGAAGCTTTCTGGGAACGGACGCAGAAGGCGGGGTTTTGGATCCAAGATATTCCAAGATGCTTTTGCTCACGTGTTCTTCATGTGTTTGCTAACGCTATGTTGCGCTTCGGGCAGATGTTTCATGCTTCTGGCAGATGCAACCAACTTCAGGAGACTGCTGCAAAGCCCTGGGATCCCAGGCAGATGTCGCGAAGATCGCCATTCCAGCTTTGCAGTACATCGACCACCTGAAGCATGAGCGGCACTGAGAAACCCAAAGCCTTAAAGCACCGCTACCGAACCCAAAAAAGGACTTAAACGCCCAGACGCAGTCGCCGCGCCAGGGCCATCTCACCGGTGCCGTGGCGCTGGGAGTCAGTTTGCGTTCCAGGAAAGCTCAAAGCGGGCAGCAAACCGGCCGGGCTGCGCACCCGAGAAAGGACCCACACCTCGATTGCTCTCACCGATGACACCGTCGGGCCGTCGGGTGCCGCCGTGGCTAAGCGGCAGGCATCATGCAATACAAACACATCATCTGCACCTGTCACCAGGGCTGCCAGGCGAAGACTGCACATCGTGTGCCAGCAAGCATGAGTTCACGAGCTCAAGGCCTACACCAAGAACGACGAAGAAAGACCTCGGCGCAGACTGGCTGCTTCACACGCCAGCATCTCCCCAGCAAAACAACAGCCGAGCTCATCTACCCGGCTCTCAGGATCGCAGAGCAGCGAGGTCCTACCGCCTACTGAGCTGCATGTGCCACACTCATGTGCGCGCACGACCGGATCAGCGGGATCAGCGTCGGTATCCGGCAACGACGGACATGGCTCAGTGCAGTGAAGCCCGAGGCAGCAGTCAGGCCGCTCTGCGCGGCTTGGATGTAAGCAAGCTCGTTGTCGTGCACCCCCGAGGACAAAGCATGCACCGCCCACACCAGCAGCTGAAGCCACGCTTCTTGGCTGGGACGGAAAGGAGCTCATCATCGTGCAATCAAGCGTTATCGCCACGCTGAGGCAAGCGCTGCAAGCTCAGAGAATACAAACTGAAAACATCCGTTCAGCACAGCAGCCAAAGCCACTCTGCTTGGCTGGGACGGAAAGAAACTCATCATGATGCAACCAAGCGTTGTCGCCACGCTGAGGCAAGCGCTGCAAGCTCAGAGAATACAAACTGAAAACATCCGTTCAGCACAGCAGCCAAAGCCACTCTGCTTGGCTGGGACGGAAAGAAACTCATCATGGTGCAACCAAGCGTTATCGCCACGCTGAGGCAAGCGCTGCAAGCTCAGAGAATACAAACTGAAAACATCCGTTCAGCACAGCAGCCAAAGCCACTCTGCTTGGCTGGGACGGAAAGAAACTCATCATGATACAACCAAGCGTTATTGCCACGCTGAGGCAAGGCAAGCGCTGCAAGCTCAGAGAATACAAACTGAAAACATCCGTTCAACACAGCAGCCAAAGCCACTCTGCTTGGCTGGGACGGAAAGAAACTCATCATGATGCAACCAAGCGTTGTCGCCACGCTGAGTCAAGCACTGCAAGCTCAGAGAATACAAACTGAAAACATCTGTTCAGCACAGCAGCCAAAGCCACTCTGCTTGGCTGGGACGGAAAGAAACTCATCATGGTGCAACCAAGCGTTATCGCCACGCTGAGGCAAGCGCTGCAAGCTCAGAGAATACAAACTGTAAACATCCGTTCAGCACAGCAGCCAAAGCTACTCATCGTTGCAGTCAGCGGTGCTGGCGCATGGCTATATACATGGCAAGCCATGGCAACGAAAGCAACGTAGTCGGCGAGTGGAAGCTACTAAAGGCTGGGACAGATGGAAGTCATGTTGGCACAGCACTGCATCATGGATTGATTCATGGATTTCCTAATAGGTCCTAATAACTTAATAGCCCTCGAGGACATCTGTCAATGTCAGATATCTGCATGAAAATGGCAGACACCAAACCACAACCCCATGCAAGTACGACCTTTTTAAGCATGGTTGTTGGATGTGGTTGCCGTCTCCCAGAGTAATGATAGCAATGTTCTTCGGTCGAGATAAAAGCGCGAAAAAGGGATCGACCTCTGACCCAAGGCACCTAGGTTGCCGGTCCCAGCTAGACCTAAAATCGGCTCGTTACGTAACTCTTGCGACTCGGCAAGCTCCTAGCAAGTCGTGATAGTCTGTCATCACTAGACTCAGACTACGTCTAGAAGGCCTGGGGTGCAGCCCATCACGCTGGTTCTAGCAAAATGCTTGCCCAGCAGCAAGAAGTTGATCGCAATCATCTTGCCGTGACCGTAAACAAAGCAATAGCAAGCGTACCTGTCTCGTTTTGCTTCAGCTTCAGCACATAAAGCACCGGCTGCTTTCTTCCAACGGCAGCGGTCCTATCACTTCTTTTTCGTCGCTGCCTCGCGCTGTCCCATGGGCGAGGTGATTGCAAAGAGCGAGTTGCTGAAGGGTTGCCAGGAACTTTGCCCTCTTCAAACGGGTCGGGCAGAGGAACCGCTCGAGTCCTGGAATTTGCAGCCACGACCCGACAACATGAAACTCTAAGAGAGCGTTTGCTCACTCCGGCAAGGGCGTTGCCCACGGATCACCGTCTTCCTGACAGGTTCACTACGGAGCTTAGCAGCGCAGCGTCGCAGCGAAAGCAATGCTTTTCAGCCGTCAGATGTTCCCTCCTCCATGTCTGGACTGCACCAAACAGCTGGGGCGCTCGGCGGGGTTCCCTGCCACAGCTGCAGTCGGCCAAGGACTGAGAAAATCCCTGAGTCGGGCTTGAACAAAGGCTGTACCTTGCAAACAGTGTGTGGCAATGCGTGGCATCACTGGTGCTGTGAGCTCTACCTCCTGTCCTGTTGCTGGGGCAAAACAGATTTCGGTTTGCCAGAAACCAGGTAATTGCTTGAGAATCCAAGTGCGTGGGTACCCCGTAGGTCTCAACAGCCTGACTAGCCGACGCGCTCTAAATTCCAAGCCCTCGTGTCAGTGTGGCCTGTCGTTGCCGCCGCCAGGAACACCAACGCCGTATCCGGACACCAGAGAAGCTGTTAAGGCGGATGTAGCCCTTGGAACCAGGTCTTTGCTGCTGCACCACACTGCCCCAGTGCCACACGTGGAGCACCTCTTTCGATAGGAGTGCGTGCCACATGTCGCAAGTGGCGAGCTCTTCATCCACCCCTGGGTGACAATGACTGTTGCAGAGGACCATGAAAAAACTCGGCACACGCGTGCTGTCCAAGGCCTGGAACTGAAGGGGTGCACCTAAGTGGCGGCTCAGGCCATGCACATGTGGCATGCCGCATGTGGCAGGAAAGCTGCACGAAGGGATCCTGCAGAGTATATGAGCTCCCCTGCAAAAGCCCAGAACCTGTGGTCCGAGGCGCCACCGCAGCGGCTGGCGCTCTGCCCGGCGCTCCTCAGAGACGCGCCGCGACGAAGTCCCCGGAAAAGAAGAGAGGCTCGGCGCCGGCCTCGCAGGCCTCGGCTTCGTCCGCAGCTGCGCTGTTTGGGCTCCTCGGAACTGCGACCTGGGAGGCTGCGCTTCGAACGCTCATCGTCGCTCTGCTGTACCCGTGGCTCACATTACATTGACATGAAGGCAGCTATTGGCAAGCACGAAACACAAGCGATAACCACGGGAATACCAGCAGTTGCAAACGTGCCTATCGGGCTTGTCGTTATGGTTCTAATATGTCACTTCTTTACTTACTGTCATTAACCTTGTTGATCCTTGTTGGTACTGCTCTCGGTATTGAGCTGCTGATCTTCTGGTCGATTCTGGCCAGTACTTAATTCGGAAGTCTAGCAGTCTAAGTCGTCAAAGTAAGTATGTTCTCCTATCATTTGTCCCTTGTTGCCACACACTATCCTTATCCAGTAAGAGAAGAACATTGCAGCCACTGAAAACCCTTGCAGCACGAGAGACACAAGCCTTCAGCGGCTACGGCATGTGCAGTCAACAGCGGTACACTACGCTTGCAATTCGTCTGCTTCAGCAGGAAGGTACTTGTTAAATACTCATCACATGTATGGTACCTGATGAAACCTTAGAGTGCTTACAGCAAGGGCGGGTTCGAGGATTCACGGTTTAGGCTGAAGCTAAATGGCACGAATTTTTACTTGCCGCAGGAGGACACCCATCGCTGCGCGGGCAGTCGCAGCAATGCTAGGCCTTGGAGAGTGTGAGCACTGCCGACTGCATAGGTTTCGTTCATCGCAGATGTTCTTCAACCTCTGGTTGCGAGAGGCTGCCGGGCGAGGAGAAGCGCCCGCCGCTTCCCAGCCAACATGAGGCGCGAGAAGGTTTGACAGTCTTCGAGTTTTTGAAGAGCTTAGATGACTCTTCGCTAAACCTTGCTGCTGTCTCCAGCATGTCATGTTGCTTTACAGAACCTGTATCACTGCACTGATAAACCAGCATGTAAGTCGCGTCATTTTCAGAATCAACTGCAGTTGTGCAGCGGAGCAGATCGGGCGGTGCGAGGAGCAGGGTAGCACGCTTTCCAAGAACCCCCTGCTGAGCCCTGGGGCACGATATGGGAAATGACAGAGCTATGCAGAACAAGGCCATGACGGTCAGAACGACAGACCTGCACCCAGGTCGCAAGCTGCCGTGCTTTTAGACTCAGCCGGGACCAGCAAACCGCCCTCCGTGCTGTCCTGGCCTAAGGTAGAACACTAAGTAGATAAATATGAAGAGCAAAGACCTGGGTTTCGAGGCTGCGAGTTGTTTGAACCAGAACTCCGAGATCAGAAGCTGAGACCACGAACCCGATGGCATACGTGGCATCGTGCCACACTGCCGACTCGACCTGTACTTGGGCTGCGTGAGCCGCCGCGGCACGCCGACGTGAATTCCAGAATTCCCCTTACCATGGAAGACCTGAATTAAGAGACCCATGTGCTGGAGGTCATGCTCAACCCAAAGTGGAAAGTATCCGCAACTGCAATTTACAATAAGCATGGCGACACAGTCTCAAGAGAAAGCCAACCCCTGGCGAACCAGCCTCTAACTGGGTCACCTGGTCCCCGTAAAAGTAGACGCGCAGCTTCTGCAATCCACACAAGAAATGCGCAACAATCATCCTGAATTCGTCAGGCGACGTCCTGCCACTATAAAGGCTGCAGCAGTGGCCTCCGAGGATGCTTCTATCAAGTAGGGCCGGAGCCTGGCACAGTGTGAAAATGTCAGAAGGCTGTCTTTCCCACTTCTTACAGCGTCTTGCGGGTGCCGGGCTGGTCCCTGACGAACTCCCCGAACATCTCAGCCTGTCGATGGTCCTCCGATGACAGAAACAGCGCTTTGTGCAAGAAGCGCAGCTGAAAGCCTGGCCTCCGTGTTCTGAAAGCCCCTGAGAAAGGGAAAGAAACTCTCAACACATGGCGCAGAGTCTGGAGAGTCTGCAAGGCCTTAGGGGCAATCCGAAGCGGAGGACGCTGCGAGTAATGTTGCCCTCGAGAGCCTCAAGTACTCCACTCTTTTGGCTCCCAAAGTGATGCGAAGAGTCGGTGATGAAAGAGCGTCATTGTCAGGCTCGGGCACTTTTCAGCTGACCCGAAGAGACACCGAAGTACCTGGCACAAGTCTCGGAGATCACAGAGAGAATCTGCCCAAGAGTGTAAACTTCCCAAATTGGCCGATGCTCGCCTATCCACGAAGTAGGAGTTGCTAGTGCCAAGATTCGCTAAGATCGCCTGTCACAGAGAGGATCATAGAGGTACAGGCAAACTGTTGCGCGCCATGCGGTTCAATAACGTGTCACGTCTGTTCGGTGGGTCTTCCCGAAGTCCCGGCTCTGTTTAGCTTGTGGTTTTGCCTGAATGGGAAGAAGGTGTTCTCCTCGACCATTAGGCGTGATGGTGCCTCGCCACGAAACAGCAATTAACATGACAGACTGCTGCTGTTATGGAAAAGGGCGTGGGGCTGCCACACCGTTGGAATCCAAGACTGTCGTCGACACTGCTGCTACATCCGAGCAAGACTTGATGCAGCATGGTTCAACGGATACCCTGCCGGGCCAATGCCAATGCCTCACGGGTAAGCACTCGTTGATGAAACGACCGCTGCCTGTGCTTGCATCCATGCTGGCAAAGAAATAGTTGACCGCCTCGCGTGTGCAAGCAGCCAACCCCGACTTCAACACGAAACAAAACCTTCAGACACCTGCGAGCCGTCTCGGCCCTGCACCGACAGCGGCCGCACACAGCGACCGTTTCCGTCAGCGAGGCAGAAACGCCGGTAGCCCGGCAAGGTCTCGAGCCTGACCGCTAAGACTTCCGCCGACGTCAGAAGTCACTCGCCGCTTTCTAGCCGAGTGGGCTATGTTGATGAATGCGAGTACATAATGCGTAACAATTGTCTGTCATAGTACGTCAACACACATGCTGCAACATCGATGGCGACAAGTACTGAAGCGGACTAATTGACGGATTGCTCTCCAAAGCAGGAAACTTCAAACTCCAATCTGGAAGAATCCAGGAATGTCCAGGAGTCCAGGGAGCGTCAACGGTTTTGTCAACATAGCGCCATGGCTTCACCAAGCAAGAATAACAACTGGCTTGGACATGGAGCTTGGCGCACCGTTCCGATCGACAACAGGCGTTGGGGCCTGTCTTCGATGTGCTTAATCCGCTTCAGGTACTCGGGCGTGAAGATGTTGGAACCTGAGAGCTCAAAATGGCTCAAAGCCCGCAAAGCCCGCAAAGCCCCAAAGCATCTCAACAGCCTGCAAGCAGAAAGCCGGGTGCTGCCCGCGGCCTCACATGTGGACTCTCCGAGGCACCGGGCCATCCGTCGTGGCATATATCAACCGGATGAAGAAACGCGGCTGTGTGCGCTCCTGGCGAAGCGTGGCTTGAGTCACAGCCCATCGCAAAACCCTTCAGGGTCTCCTTCACGGGCTGTAGTCTCCTCTCATGAGCCTGCGCCATGCACATGATATTGGCGCAGGACTGCGGACAGATGCTGTGCGTCCTTGCTCCTCAATGAAGTGCACATCTACGCACACATAGGCTTTGTTTCTCTTTTGTGAGCACACGGGACGAGGCAGCACCGCATCTGCTGTCCTCCAGGCATGTGGCACGTGACAGACGACAAGTGACGGCTCGGGGATAATTTGCTGATGATGGCTGCCAGCTCTTATTGCCGAGCATTGCAAGGCAGGTCCAGCCGCAGACCCTGCGCCGATGCTAGAGCCCGCAGCCGCGCAGCTGCTTCGGCGTCACCGGCCCTGAGATTTCGAGCCAAAACACAAAGCCCTGTCGAAGGCCTGAAAGAAAGACAGGACAGGAGCCGTTTCAGAAGGCCTGGCACAAGCAGCCAGGACTGGGGCAAAGCTGCGCTGGTTTGGCACGAGGCCGGCCGAGGGGAGCCGGCGCAGCTCCTCCGTGGCTCCTCCGTGGACCGAGAGCAAAGAAGAGGCAGAGGAGAGAGAGCTCGAGAGAGCTCGAGGTCAAGGGAGGCTGGCGCTCTCTCCTGCGAAGTCGCCGGCGTTGGCCCGGCACTTGGCCATGGCGGAGGCCACGACCACGTTCGCTTGCAGCCTCAGCTCGGAGCGGTCGCCGCAGCTGCGACTCCGAAACGCCTGGCGCCTAGCGCCTAGCTACGAGCTGCCCTTCACCTGAAGTGCTGAGGGCCGGGGGCCTGGCCCGCGGGAGCGCAGCATTCCCAGCACTCGCTCGGCATTGGGCACATCGCCTTGCAGTCTTGACCAGCAAACAAGCCTTTCACAGCCCCTGAAGCCCGGGATGACCTGTCCGGGCGTAGCCATCCAAAAGAGTCGCAAAGCACACCACCTTCGACGAGGTCATAGGCTCTATAGAGCTTGGGAGTCTATCTGACCCTACGAGTCTCCAATAGCAGCACAGCCACATTGGGCAGCAGTCCCCAGGCGCCCATGCCCCTCAGCACTTCCTCAGCACCCTGTAGGTCGCCAGCACGAGTGTGGGCGAGTATCAGCGAGCCTTGCAATGGAGAGGGATTGATATGGAGGGAACGATGCAATTATCCCACTATATCCTTGTCGAAAGGGCGAGTGACTTTGCATGACGACATCCGGTTGCACACGGGTTGATTGCAGTTCTTCGGCCAGCCCAGTTGCCCGAAGACTATCACCTCACAGAGCACCGCCGAAGAATGGAAAGGAATCCACGGTCGATGATTATCATCACTGCACAAGCAACATGGCACGGCCTCTTTTTGCATAGGCACTCAACAGGGCTGTGTAGCACAAGAAGTTCCTGGGACAGCACGCCCTCACTTACTCGGAAAGCTGCTTTACTTTGTGAACAACAAGTATTCCGAACGTCCTCTCCGAGGAACCTACGCATTGAGCGCCCCCAAAAGCCAAACAAGATGAGCTGCGGCTGAAGCGATGTTCGCCGCATGGTGCGAAGCGTGTCCTCCGCGCGCTCAACGTCAGCCTCTGCTGCATAAAGCTTCAGCAGCACCTGCGCCAGAGTCCGACAGAGTATAGAGAGAGAATGAGAGATGTGATCACATAATGGTGACATGATGTGACATATGGTCTGTCGTTCCGAGCGTCCCCATAGGTGACGACGTTAGGGGCCGCGGACATGTTGTTGAGCAGCCCTTCTGCTGCCACTCGATCCCTCAAAGAAGCATACAGGTCCTGTCAAGAGTCGACGGCGCATCTGCAAGATGCAGGACGCTCGGCAGTCGTCAGTCCATCAAGGCTGTGTAGCACGCCACGTCCGGCTGCAAGGTATCAAGATCCATTTGCTGCAGAAGTGCCTGGCAGGCAAACAGCTGATGATCTGTCTGTCTATGGGCCTTCGGGCGCACTAAACGCATTTACTATTACCCCACTGAGCCATGCGCCACTCTTGATCACATCTTATCTTGTTCCGAAGCTTACGCACAAAGAGAGCGGAGTGAAGTACCGGCATGCACATCGCGAATTCGCATCGTGTGCACCTCTGCGTCCCTGCGTCGCGAATCAGCAGCATAAGAGCCTCGCTTCTAATCGACTACCCGACAGCTCTGCAACATACATGGCTACATGTTGGACCGGAGCTCGAGGCAAACTGCAACAATGCCAGACTGGTCACGAATAAGAGTAGTGCACGTCATCAGGTCTGGTTGAAGCCGTGCGCTGCCTGAGAAACAAAACTAAAACCCACAACAATCCCGCCACGAAACTGTCAGAACATGTCAGAATCTTCCTTCGTCTCATTTTATTCAAGCGCCTGTTATGCATTTCAGCTAGGAGACCGTGATGACATGTGCTACACTGTCAGGAACATGCCGAACTGGAGTTTGCTCTGCATTGAACTTGGCGCCCCGCGCAGGTCTGCTAAAAGTTGTTCGGCCGCTTTGCTCCTTCCTGCCGCCACGCATGCCTTGATCGGAGGTGATAGCTGAACTCTACAATACAAGCACGTTGCTGTACAACCGCAGCGATCTCAGGCCTGCATGGCCGTCGAAAAGCTGGCATTGTCAGGCCGGACAGCGGCGCTTCGCATGGACGCAAGGATCCGCACTGCGCCCTTGCAGTCTTTGACAGCAGCATAAGCCTCAACACGGCTCTAGCAACAGTTCTTGTACACCCACACGTGACTGCATCTACCAATCTGAAGCCGCCTTGAGGAGTGTATTGTAGGAAATCAGGTCCGGCTTCATCCGCTGCTGCCTTCATAGCGAGACTCGAACTTGTCGAAATCACTTCTGCAAGTCACTGCCTGATCTGCACAAGAACTTCCTCTGCTCCTCTCACATCTCCTGCAGGCCAGCTTCCAGCGAGTGAGGATTCTAGGATCCTCTCCCAGGATCCTTTTCTGGCACGGAGGTCCATCAAAGCCCCGAACGCTCCGAGGCCTCCCATCAGCACACACGATGACTTGACGCTGCTGTTGCTCCGGTTTGTTGCAGGCCTCCACCCTGCGAGGCGTTCAGCTCTGCCCACCCCTGGCAACAGGTCGCGACTCTGTCTCTGCCCTAGTCCTATAGTGCTCAGCTGTGCTCTGCGTCCTCGGCGTCCAAGTGAGTGGCCGTGGCGAGTCGCAGCTCTGCGTGGTCGGGTCCCACGCAGAGGCCAGGGCGAGGACAGCGTAGGAGCCTCGGCGAAGGAGCTCAGAGCTCACCCTCCTTACCGTTACTCCTTCTCTTCTCTGTGCTTGCCGGAGCGGCAGGGCGCGCGGCAGGCCCTCCAGCCGAGGCAGCAGGAAGGCCGCTCCTGCACTCCCAACATCTCCCAACGCCCACTCTTCTTGTCTTTCCGGCTTTTCTTGTGCCAAGGCGCCGTCCTTGCTGACGATGACCCGCTCGGAGTGATCGGATCTGAGATGGAGTTGAACCGACAAGATGTTGTGCTCAAAGCTCTTTGCTTCCAGGCGGCATGGGCCACGTTACCTTAACGGCGAGGGGAGACTGCTCGAGGACTGGACAGCTTGTGCCTGGCCTAGGGCTTCGCAGGCTCCGTGGCGGAGCCTGCAATTATGCAACTCTCTATGGATCGGGTCGAGTTGCACCAGCAGCTTCAGCTCCTTCGCGCACGCCTCATGCGTAGACTTGCAAGACGCATGCTGAAAGTTTTCAATTGGAAGCTGGCCTCTGATCTCATCTGGTACTAGCGACCTAGACCTGGCGACAATCGACCGAATGCTGCCAAAGACGCGTCGGATCTCTGCAGCCTGCATCGGGCGGAGCCAGTCCACAGCCAGCTTTTGGTCGTAGCTGCGTGGGCTGCCTGCCCAACCGCAAACCAGGTTCAACAGCTTTGCCGCATATTGCCGCTGCACCTGGCTCCCGCTGTCGCCGGAAGCAGGCCACGAAGAAGCCTGCATGCCGAGAAGCTGCAAATGTGGGGGCAGGTGCTCCCGAAGCATGCCGAGGGGCCCATGGTGTCAAATGCTTGTGGCCACACTCGCAGAAAACCCTCCTTTGTTCCCGTCGCATCCATTTCAAGTCCAAGGCTGTGCCTCACAACGCGACTCGCGACACAAAGAAGCATAGCTGCAGGGCCCAAGCCAGAGATCAAGTTGCGGGCCTGAGATCGACAACCTCTGCGGAGGGATCAAACCGCAGCAGCCGGAAGCATGGGGCCTCGTTCTCCTGCGACAGGCAAGCCCATCCACCACGTCTGAAGGGAGAAACTCATGCATGTGTGGGATATCACGTCTTGCTCGGTTGCCTGTGAATTCAAAGTGCAAGTGGAGTAGACCAAGGTACCTCCGGGGCCTTGGTTTGCAAACGACCATAGGTTGCCTCTCGATCTGCTTGGCAGACACACGCTGCTGCGAGCTTTCAGGACTGGGCGAAGCAATTTCCAGGCACTCTGTAGCAGTTCCCACTGGACTTCGGCATTGGAGCGGACACTGTGCTGGTAGCCCTCAGACAGAATGCGGTCCAGCACCTGCAGTGAAATTGCACAGCACGCCAAGGGATACCGCCGGTTCGCCTTCTCCAAGCTGCTGCACCTCGGGATACCTGCGGAGATTGCCTTCGGCACTGCATGGAGCATCCAGGAGTACGGCATCGAAGCAGCCCGGTGCGAGGTCGCCGAGGCATTGCCCAGACTCCTTTCAAAGAGCTGCTACTGCCTTCAATGTACGTGCACCACACAAGCCGAATCCATGTCGCCGGTCCTGAAGTATGAGGCAGTCCTCGGCCACACCTGACCTCATCACCGGCCAGAGTCGCAAGCGCCGTATTGTGGTTCGGGCATCTGAGATCGCTGACGATCGGCAACTACTTCTAGGATGTGCACTCTACAGTCGAATGGGCAAAGGGTGCCTGCAGTGCTCCTGGGTGTTCAATCTGTTGACCTAATTCGGCTGGGCAGCTAAGTTGATGCGAGCGACCGAACGACGTTGCAGCGAAGTACATCGGAGCGCTGCGGCTGGGAATCGTTCGCCACCAGCAAACACGGAGAGCTCAGGCTTCCTGCGTGGAAGCGGCCCGGCGGTAGGGCTAATTACTCGTTAGAGCTGTAAAAACTCACTGCAACGGACGATGCATGCATTGACAGCATGGATTGCTGCCAGGTCGGTCATCGCTTGCCTTGGAGGCGAAGCAATGTGAGAAGCTGCGTCGCCTGGCAAAACTCTCAAGTCAGCTGAGCCTGACTTTAACCTGCGTTTTCGTCCCCCGCATAGCACGTCCATGCAGCTTCGTGCCACTGCGCCATTCGGGAAGCTCAGGCCCCGGAACAGAACTCGACAGAAGCCAATGTCACAAGGTCATCTCATGATCTCATGCATCTGAATTTCCATTGCAGCGTTGCATGTGCCTTGGAGCCCGGTGCAGCACACAGGTCCACGCAGCGCAGGTCGCCAGTTCGCGGCAGCTGAGACCAAAGCACCTCGCAGGCGCGACGATCACCATTGCAACGTTGCAAAGAACGGACTTCCACAGGGTCCCAATGCGCATCCGATGCGACACCTCCGAGAGAATTCCTCCAACCTCTCTTGCAAAGCTCCCGAGCATCCCAGGGAGTGTTTACAGTTGCTCATGTCATGCATACTGGCTCTTCTGACAACATGTCACGTCAGCTACACGTAGTCCCCTCTCAGCACGCATGCGAGGCTGTGCGTCGTCCTGACACCAGTAAGCTGTCGTCTTGGCTGAGTTCATGCGCACGCAGTGGCGTGGCTTGAAGCTTTGCCTCTGGTCACAGTCAGAGCATTCCAAGCCTGCACCGGCAGCATGGACGCGAGCTCCTCCGAAAGCGAAACAACATGCAACTCCCCCCCGCTGCGCAAAAGGCCCCTCTCAACCTGGAGGTAGACGGCGCCGGAGAGCTGCAAGGAACTCAGGGAGGCAAAGCCGTCCTCGTCCTCGGGCCGACGCATCTGAGTGCTCCCCAATTTTCTGGTACTGCCCGTACTGTACCGCCTCGAGAAGAAAGCCATCGCCACACCAGGGGGCCGGGCTGGGACGGAAGCCGTCGCGGCGCAGGCCCTCTAGAAACTCCTGCAATCTGTAGCTCTCTTGGCCTCCCGTCCCGTCTACCCTATTTCTCCTGCCCGTTTCTGCGATCGAAGCGGCAGCCGTTGATTCGGAAGCCTCGGTGCTGGTATTGACATCAATGGCAGCATGTGACTGGCAGCCTCTTCCCGGATGCAAAGCTGGGAAACTCCGCTTTGGGCGGCGCTGACAAGCGCGGAGGAAGCGACGCAAAGCAAGAGGGTGGAGCCCCAGAGCCACCGCCTCTACCACAGAAGCAAAAGGCATGTTCTTCCAGGATGTCTCTATGTGCTTGGTTGCTTCAATGGCTTTGCATGCTTTGTGGCAGTCTCGTCCCTAATGTCTCTGTGATTCGCTGTGCCTCGGCAAGGAAAGCCCGCGTCAGCCCCGGGGGTCTCCGCAGCCCAGGCGTTGGCCGAGGAGCAGGCCTCGAAGGCTGCGACGGCAGAACGGCCGCTGCCACGGCGGCCGACATAGCGGCGACAGCGACGGCGACAGCGAGCCATCATTGGGCTCAGAGTCAGAGATGCTCGGAGCTTGGGGCTGCTATGGGGAGTGGCGAGGAAGTCAAGGCCGAAGGCGCCTGCTTAAAGTTTTGAAGATTGCTTCTGAGGCTCAGTCTTCGCTATCTGCCAGCCTATGTTTGGCACGGGACACGCTGCGTTTGCGGCCTCTCACGAAACATTTCTCCAATCAGGACTCGAAGTCATCATGGAGTGCAAGTTTCTTGTCTCGCACGGAGGCGTTTCAGCAGCAGAACCTGCCGTCCAACACTCCACTCCTATGACAAGGAGACAACACTGGTCCTGACATGCCCCCTGCTGGGGCCTTGACTAGACTCCGGGAACGTTAAACAAATTTGGGGAAACGGGCACTAATCCTCTCAGCATCGGAGCCTGCCCTTGCGGAGCACCTCCTCGGCGGAAACTCACTGGCTATGCTGCACTGTCTTGCATGGAGAACTGAGGCATGATCCATGCCAGCGCGGGTTTTCTGATGACATCTCAAACCACGCTGCCGGCCTCACTTGCGGCTCTCGTTCTGCAGCGTCGCCACCAGCTCTGCCTGTCGGCGCATCTGGAGGATCTGCTGCAGGAAGAAGAGGATGAGGAGGATGTAGCTCACAGGATTCTTCTGCAGGTACTCCCGCAGCTTGGACACCAACTTCTCCACTTGTGGGGTTGCCAGGCTGCCGATGGCCAGGCTGATGCCCATGATCACGGCACCGACGGATGTGCTGCGGATGAACTTGATGGGCTGGAAGAAGTCCGAGAAGGACTGCTTGCGGTCCGGAGGCTGCAGGCAGTAGCCCCGCAGCTCATTGCCGGGAGCGGACAGCACGCAGGCTGCGACGACGGTGGTGAACATGTTGACTACGCGGCCCATTGTAGAGTTCGCGAACGCAGGGTTCAGAGAGATCAGGAAGGCAGAGACCTTGTTGCGTGCGATGCCATAGATGATGTCTCGAAGAACCGTTGGCGGGTACGCCTGGTAGAGATTGGACGCCGTCACTGGCATGTTCATCGACTTTCTGAAGCGATAGTTCGTGATGGGCAAAGTGATTGAGCAGAAGACCGATCCCAACGCAGCTCCCCGGGCTGTTGGGGGAAGGTCCACGCCCTGCATGATGATGTTGGTCGCCTCAAAAAAGGGGAACTTGATGAAGTTGGTGGAAAGCGTGGTGTTCAGATATTTCCTGATGTTGCTAGGATCCAGCTCCTTGATGGCCTGACCGAGCGTCGCTCGGTTCACCAACATGTTGTTCACCAAAGGCTCCGTCACCGCGCTCAGGGACGCGGCAACCACAGCGCCCACGGCACCCTGGGAGGCAGCACCGATCACGCGGCCCATGAAGTCCTGCGACGCAGCGTCGGCCATCGTGGAAGACACGAGATGGGGCGAAAGACTACCGGACCAAGGTAACTCAACAAAAGCTGCGCAGCTAGCATGCACAACAGTGACGGGTGGAATTGCCTTGGGGTTGGCTCCTATATCTCTTATACCTTACCTTGACTCAGCTCGACTGCTATCCCACGACATCTGCCCACCAAGCTTTTCCTTTTGTCAGGCTGGGCCGTTTCAGCAGCACCAACAGCTGCCGTCCAGTCACCAACGTGAAACGAGCATTCAAAGAAGCACGGAAACAGTAAAGAAACGGCGACACGGAGTGCCAAAGGTCACCACATTTAAGGCTTGGCTTTAAGCCTTAGCCTTGGCGTCCGGGGAGATGGCCAGCTTTTGGGGCGCCTCAATTGCCTGCACCAGCTCTGCCTGTCGGCGCATCTGGAGGATCTGCTGCAGGAAGAAGAGGATGAGGAGGATGTAGCTCACAGGATTCTTCTGCAGGTACTCCCGCAGCTTGGACACCAACTTCTCCACTTGTGGGGTTGCCAGGCTGCCGATGGCCAGGCTGATGCCCATGATCACGGCACCGACGGATGTGCTGCGGATGAACTTGATGGGCTGGAAGAAGTCCGAGAAGGACTGCTTGCGGTCCGGAGGCTGCAGGCAGTAGCCCCGCAGCTCATTGCCGGGAGCGGACAGCACGCAGGCTGCGACGACGGTGGTGAACATGTTGACTACGCGGCCCATTGTAGAGTTCGCGAACGCAGGGTTCAGAGAGATCAGGAAGGCAGAGACCTTGTTGCGTGCGATGCCATAGATGATGTCTCGAAGAACCGTTGGCGGGTACGCCTGGTAGAGATTGGACGCCGTCACTGGCATGTTCATCGACTTTCTGAAGCGATAGTTCGTGATGGGCAAAGTGATTGAGCAGAAGACCGATCCCAACGCAGCTCCCCGGGCTGTTGGGGGAAGGTCCACGCCCTGCATGATGATGTTGGTCGCCTCAAAAAACGGGAACTTGATGAAGTTGGTGGAAAGCGTGGTGTTCAGATATTTCCTGATGTTGCTAGGATCCAGCTCCTTGATGGCCTGACCGAGCGTCGCTCGGTTCACCAACATGTTGTTCACCAAAGGCTCCGTCACCGCGCTCAGGGACGCGGCAACCACAGCGCCCACGGCACCCTGGGAGGCAGCACCGATCACGCGGCCCATGAAGTCCTGCGACGCAGCGTCGGCCATCGTGGAAGACACGAGATGGGGCGAAAGACTACCGGACCAAGGTAACTCAACAAAAGCTGCGCAGCTAGCATGCACAACAGTGACGGGTGGAATTGCCTTGGGGTTGGCTCCTATATCTCTTATACCTTACCTTGACTCAGCTCGACTGCTATCCCACGACATCTGCCCACCAAGCTTTTCCTTTTGTCAGGCTGGGCCGTTTCAGCAGCACCAACAGCTGCCGTCCAGTCACCAACGTGAAACGAGCATTCAAAGAAGCACGGAAACAGTAAAGAAACGGCGACACGGAGTGCCAAAGGTCACCACATTTAAGGCTTGGCTTTAAGCCTTAGCCTTGGCGTCCGGGGAGATGGCCAGCTTTTGGGGCGCCTCAATTGCCTGCACCAGCTCTGCCTGTCGGCGCATCTGGAGGATCTGCTGCAGGAAGAAGAGGATGAGGAGGATGTAGCTCACAGGATTCTTCTGCAGGTACTCCCGCAGCTTGGACACCAACTTCTCCACTTGTGGGGTTGCCAGGCTGCCGATGGCCAGGCTGATGCCCATGATCACGGCACCGACGGATGTGCTGCGGATGAACTTGATGGGCTGGAAGAAGTCCGAGAAGGACTGCTTGCGGTCCGGAGGCTGCAGGCAGTAGCCCCGCAGCTCATTGCCGGGAGCGGACAGCACGCAGGCTGCGACGACGGTGGTGAACATGTTGACTACACGGCCCATTGTAGAGTTCGCGAACGCAGGGTTCAGAGAGATCAGGAAGGCAGAGACCTTGTTGCGTGCGATGCCATAGATGATGTCTCGAAGAACCGTTGGCGGGTACGCCTGGTAGAGATTGGACGCCGTCACTGGCATGTTCATCGACTTTCTGAAGCGATAGTTCGTGATGGGCAAAGTGATTGAGCAGAAGACCGATCCCAACGCAGCTCCCCGGGCTGTTGGGGGAAGGTCCACGCCCTGCATGATGATGTTGGTCGCCTCAAAAAAGGGGAACTTGATGAAGTTGGTGGAAAGCGTGGTGTTCAGATATTTCCTGATGTTGCTAGGATCCAGCTCCTTGATGGCCTGACCGAGCGTCGCTCGGTTCACCAACATGTTGTTCACCAAAGGCTCCGTCACCGCGCTCAGGGACGCGGCAACCACAGCGCCCACAGCACCCTGGGAGGCAGCACCGATCACGCGGCCCATGAAGTCCTGCGACGCAGCGTCGGCCATTGCTGTTGACTCGAACGGTTTAAGGCTCACGCCTCTGGTGATGGAAACCTTGTGGCTGCATCTCTGGTGATGTTTCGAATTGACAGCAACATGTCGACGAAACCGCCTTCTTTGTAGTCTGATTCTACAGAAGGGTGAAAAGCAGCACGACATGACCGATCTTGGCTGCTACGCTGCCACTGAGTGCTGCAGATTTTGTTCCGGAGCCGTGTCAGCAGCTTCCTGCCGTCCAACTCCAGCGTCGCCTTCTTGCAGGGCGGCTGTCACACTACCTGTGAAAACGAAACTGCAGCCGCGATCTCACAAAGTTTTCACATGAAAGGTACAGTGAAGGGCCAGTAGCTCCCAAGGATGTTTGCACTGCACTTGCAAAGCTCGAAAGCAACCCTTCACCCTTCTTAGTATCGTGACCTCCGTGTTGACCAGGCTGCAGGATGCCGAATGGTATTGAAACTAGACAGAACTCCTCGGAACCGAACTTATGCGGCCTTGAGGGACTTTTGATCCGACTTCAGAGTTTCCACGAGCTCTGCCTGTCGGCGCATCTGGAGGATCTGCTGCAGGAAGAAGAGGATGAGGAGGATGTAGCTCACAGGATTCTTCTGCAGGTACTCCCGCAGCTTGGACACCAACTTCTCCACTTGTGGGGTTGCCAGGCTGCCGATGGCCAGGCTGATGCCCATGATCACGGCACCGACGGATGTGCTGCGGATGAACTTGATGGGCTGGAAGAAGTCCGAGAAGGACTGCTTGCGGTCCGGAGGCTGCAGGCAGTAGCCCCGCAGCTCATTGCCGGGAGCGGACAGCACGCAGGCTGCGACGACGGTGGTGAACATGTTGACTACGCGGCCCATTGTAGAGTTCGCGAACGCAGGGTTCAGAGAGATCAGGAAGGCAGAGACCTTGTTGCGTGCGATGCCATAGATGATGTCTCGAAGAACCGTTGGCGGGTACGCCTGGTAGAGATTGGACGCCGTCACTGGCATGTTCATCGACTTTCTGAAGCGATAGTTCGTGATGGGCAAAGTGATTGAGCAGAAGACCGATCCCAACGCAGCTCCCCGGGCTGTTGGGGGAAGGTCCACGCCCTGCATGATGATGTTGGTCGCCTCAAAAAACGGGAACTTGATGAAGTTGGTGGAAAGCGTGGTGTTCAGATATTTCCTGATGTTGCTAGGATCCAGCTCCTTGATGGCCTGACCGAGCGTCGCTCGGTTCACCAACATGTTGTTCACCAAAGGCTCCGTCACCGCGCTCAGGGACGCGGCAACCACAGCGCCCACGGCACCCTGGGAGGCAGCACCGATCACGCGGCCCATGAAGTCCTGCGACGCAGCGTCGGCCATCGTGGAAGACACGAGATGGTCTCGGCAAGCTGCCCTACCAGATCAGCACTAGCTCACTCTCGTGAGAAACGGCTTCAAGACGAAGCACTCGACGCTGCAATGCAGTCTCCTGAAATGGACTGGATTCCCTCGTGTCGATGAAAGGTTTACAAGTTTGCTGTCGCGAGGCGAGGAGCTCGACTTCCTGGGGGCCTGAGGGGTCGATTTTTGTACAGCACGGGCGAGGGCAAAAGATTGGGATCGGAGTCTTGGATGCGGGAGACGATTTGCCCAAGCCGTGTAAGTCCTTTGCACATACCCGTCAGTCCCGAGCTCACGAGCTTGCAACATTCCTGTGCTCCCTTAGTCACTCGCTGCAGGCCGCTCCGCATCCGGGCAGATTGGCGAGGACCTCTGAGTACGGACGAGTGCCTTGCTTCAGCCCTTGCGACTCGGGACATGTCGGACGTCACATCGGACGTGACAGCTGAGCGACATCTCGTTCGTGGGGTTCACGACATTCCGCGTGTTTATGCGGTACCTCGGAGCTTGTGAGAAGTCACAGTTCGTCAAAATTGATGACCTAGAGAAGCTTGCAGCAGCGAGCCTCTGCCAGGCAAAGAATCCAAGGCCAGCGAGGATCAAAGCGTTCTCCACGCCAATTGCAGTTGACAGCCCGGTGATGCTTGAGCGCAGTCGATTGGTCTCCCCAGCCGAAGCGACTTTGCAGAGACCTCAGCACAGCACGCCTTCGGCAAACCAGGGCAGCCAAGAAAAGCTCTCGACCAGACCTTGAATCGAGAAGTTCCCGTCATCGCCGCACATTGCTGTGACAGCACCGTCAAAGCCCGGATCGCAGCGGTAAGAAGCACCCATGCCTGACCAGAAACAAGGCATGCAGCATCTGGTTCCGGATCAACGAATACTTGTTGCAGCATCCGTGCAGATCCTCCGCAAGCGCTATGTCTGCATGGTTCCATGGACCATGACTGATGTTCAGGACTGGCCTGACAACCATCCGGCAGCCAACGCTTCATGATTGAAGCTGGGCACAGCATGTTGCACCTGAGCGTCGCAACTGGTGTAAGTCCATCGAAGCGACAACACTCTCATGGCAGGGCACAGACGGCGGCACGCCGCACTGCCGACGGCAACGGCCGGAGACAACAAACTGACCATCCTAAGTGTGGCTGAGGTCTCGGATCAAGCTTTAAGGCAAGCTAGATACCCTGTCCCTCTCCCGTGCCGTATCCACGTAAATCCTTGAAGACTTTGAGGCTCAGCTGCGAGCCAGGCGAGCCCCAATCCCAACCCTTTGTCTGAGACCAAAGGATCCCTGAAGTCGTAACATGCCGCAGCTCAACAGCAACTGCACTGCAGCGCCTCGAGTCAAGCTGACACACTCTTCGATTGGTTTCAATGGTCTGCCTGCCAACCTCCGATACCTGTTGGCAGTCGAGAATCGAAGCCACAGGCAGCAGTGGGTGTTCCGTTGTAAGCATCATCACACTGGTACCGCTGCACCTTAAGCCAAAGTAAACTCCAGGCGACGACAAGGTTACTGCGTTGACATTTACCCGGCCGTGAACCCCACACTCGCCTGACAGGGTAATTTTATAGTGTAGTACTTGCAACATGGTCGTCCAGGTGCAGGCAAAGACACACTTCCCGCCGTCCTCAGCTGATGTAAAGAGCCCACCGTACCGCTCGAATGCATCTACGTGCTCCGCACGGATACGCAAAAGCCTCAAAGGACATCAAAGGAGTTCCAAGCGTCATGTTGTCCTCGGTGGCTACTGGCTTCGCATGAGGCACCGCTGGTGCATCTCCACAGGTAACCTGTCAGAAAATTGATCCATGCATTCGAGAGAAAAAGGTTGGCTGTGGTGGATGCCTGGGCGCACTGGCCGGAAATTACCCACGAGCTCGTGGAATTGCCTCAACTTGACGATCAAACAGCGAAGGACAGACGCAAGACACACTTGTGCAGGAGAACAGCCACCTTGCTTTAAACACATGACGAGAAAGAGTTTTTTATGTATCAAAGAACCTCAGATTCGTTCATCATCAACTTCACTCCGGCATTCTTTGCACAAAGCTCTCGAGATTGCTGGATGGCGAGTTCTCGGGACGATGCAACACCCGAGAGCAAAGACCTAAGAACGGAGGAGTTTCTGCTTTGCAGGCTGATGTTTCTGTGCCACACTGACACTGTAAACCCCCATACCCTGGTGACACTTTGTGCGGCCTCTGCCTGAGGCCCCTCTTCAGCAAAGACGCTGACCCTCTTGCCTCCATCATTCCGGAAAGCCGTTCGCCTACTGTACATTGCTGAGACGCTGGACACACTTTGACACACGATTCTGTTGATTTGCGTCGGTCGCGAAACGGCATGGTGCTGGGTCATCAGGGCGCTCGGGGGTGCCTGCGGAATCGGTGGGTGGAGAGTGAGTTTTTCCAGAGTGTCGACGACTTCTGCAGAGAAAACTTAAACAAGCCGCAGTAGGTTCACAGAAGCATCGTCTTATCGTTGAAGGCCGGGTGGCATTTGGCCACCAATTCTCCATGGAACCTGAGTCTTGTCATGCCTGTTAACATGCCCCTTGGGTCTGGAGATTGGGAATCACTTGTTGTGGGCACAACCACAGTGAATCGAAAGTGGCAGATGAAAGCTCACAGAAGATCCTCCCATCCCCACACCTAAAAGACCACAACAGGAAAACAGGAAACCCAAGGGGTCTGCTCTTCTTTGTGAGAAGCATGGGCCGGTTGCACGCGTAGCGGACGTGCACACCGAAGGTGAAATTCTGGCTTGCAGCGGTCTTCATGTCATCCATGCGTGCTGTGGCCTCGCAGTTGAGGGAAACGTAGACTCGACTCGACCCGTCTTAGCGTCTTTCCGGCTCCGGCCTCTGGCAGGCTTGGCGGCTGACCGCAGGAGACCGGCGCACAGCGCCCAGAGACGTTGTAGCCACCGTCCTGGACAGGCCCATGCCCAGCGGAGTTTCTCATGCAGACGTCTGCCTCCATGCACACAGCGGAGGCGAAGCCATGAAAGCCTGCGCAGAGAAGGAGAAGAGCATTCGGCACGGAAGCGTGTGGAGTGGGAGAGTCAGAGAAGCTCCGCCTGGATCGCAGGAGTAGGGGCACTGCATGCCCTCGAACCAACCGCCCAGGATACCGGAGTTGTTGAACCTCCATTCAAGCTCCCCTACCATGACCGAGAAAACACAAAAAAGGAACTCTTTCAAGAAAAAAGCAGCAGAACAGCGCCTCGGAGCCGCATGCCTTGGCCAAGAAACAGAAAGATGAGAAAGCCCGAAATGGCGAAGGCGAAAGAAGGAACGAAAGAGAACACCCCCCCTTGAAGCTACGCGAAAGAGAGCACGAAAGAATGCTGGTGGACGGAGCTTTGCAGCAACACAAGGGAGCACCTGGCAAGAGCTCCACTCCTCCGACTGAATTGCTTCAAAAATCCCTGAACGGCCCTTTCTCTCTCCGGAGTGCGATATGGTCGGGGGCGCACCACATTCTCGCCGGCAGCGGCCTGAGTGGCGGATTGCACAGAGTTTTAGGTTCCTGGAGGTCCCTGCTGAGCCCGTGCACCTGCTTTGACATACATGCCGTCATCGCCGCACGTCGCTGTTGGGGTTCCGTTGTACATCTGACGAGTCTGCGCGTCTACGAGAGGCTTAGGGTTGTGTCCTGGCCTTGCCTGGCCTCGTCACACTGGTAGCGAACGACCATGCCTTCTCAGCGCGGATGGCTCTCTTGCTTTGTGCAAAAGAAGGCCCGCACCTGTGCTGATGTTGCTGTGACTTGGGTCCAAGACGGCGTGGGCGTGCGGAACGTCCTGGCATTGGCTGCCATGTGGACTATAAGCTTGGTTTCAACGAATGTGTTCGGCCTCTGGCGGAAGGCCGCAGGTCACTTCCACGCAGGATCCGTGGACCACCCACGTCCTGCTTTCAGTTGCACAGGGAAGTACCTGCTGTCTGCTGCCGACCGTTGCGGCCGTTGCGTCCGTTGCGGCCAGGAGGCCCGGTGAGGTTACACTCTGCACTGAGGTCGCCCCGGTATCCGGGCTTGTCCTCCGGAAGCCGAGGGGCATCTGCGCGCAACTCTGCGCGCAACTCTGCGCGCAACTGTGCGCGATCGAGCCCAAGCTGAGGCCGCGGCGCAGTCGTAGTGAATGGTAACGCCATAGGTCCAGTTCTGCCGCTCAATGTCCTCAGTTTGCCAATTTCTCGCCCTGTGTACTGCAATGCTGCCTTTGTTTCCGTCACAGTGCCAACCTGCCTGACTCGATCGCGCTCGCTGCTTTGAGTTGCTCAGTCGCTGTGGTTGTTGCACACTCTTGCTGCAAGTTCGCGAACTTGCTCGTGGCCTGCAACTTAACAGTGCGTTCGTGCCGAGCTCTCCAACGCTCCATTTGTCGGGCCGGACTGACTGACTGACTCACAGACCCACCGATCGACTGACTCACACTGACTGACTGTCGGACTGACTAACCACAATGCCCACCTTCTAGTGGCCTAGTCAGAGTGGCTTTTCTCCAGCAACGAAAATCATTCCCTCACACAGGTATTCAGCCGCGCGCACACGCGCTTACACGCTCACGAAGTCGCTCGCTTTCGAACTCACTCGCACTCCAACTCACTCTCTTCCACTACAGACCGATGGTTCTGGAAGAAGCATTCCCCTCGCTGAGCCTCCCTTCGAAATTGTGCCGTGGAGCGTGCATCCGCGGAACGGCATGTGGCAGGTGTGGGGGAGCCCCGCAGGAGATGGCGCTGCACGAGCCGGTGTAGGTGTAGACGCCTGTCGGATCTGAGGAGAAGCCAGGAGTGACCACGTTCAGACCTGATCTGCCTTTGGCAGAGCAGCCCACCGACGGCGCCAGGCGCTCTGCGAAGTGACCTGCGAGACAAACTCCTAGCTCTCGCTTCTTAAGGCACGCCCATGCCGCACACGGTTGGACAAAGCTGGGAATTCAAGCTCCTGGCTCCTGGCCTGGGGCGCAACCCACAGGAGTGGCTGAACAGAGGGGCAGCCATGCGCCGGCGACCCCGGGAGATGACCTCAGTCGCGGCCAGACTTCGGCCTCCAAACATCTCTAGACACTTCAAATGATTCAAAGCTCCCGCCCCCACTGCCACCATACGCGCTTGCACTGTTTGCACAACTGAGTCTCAGGTTGATGCCATCGCTCAGCCGTGTCATTCAGCAGCGCAAAATGCAAGTCCTCAATTTGCACGTCGACTTGGAACGTTTTGGGCCTCTGGGCCTCTGGGCCTCTGGCCTGACGAGTCAGCAGAAAGTGTGCCAGATCACCCTGGCCTGCAACGTCGGGACAATGATGGAACACTGGGACACTGCGAGCAGCGCGGGCAGAGGAGGGCCTGCGCAGGAGATGTTGCGGAGCGGCGCCTGACACGACTGCGTCTGGGACTCTGCGGTGCATCGGTGGCGGCCAGCGCCTGCCTCGAAGGGCGTGGCGTCGGCCGGGAGGAGCATCAGCAGGGCCTTGGAGCTTGCCTCGGTGTGCTTCAGAGCACGGCCCAGCTGGCCCAGCCCACAGATTGGTCACGAAGCTACGTCGAGCTACAGCTTAGCCGCTTAACCTCCCCTCCTTTGCTCTCCCTCGACGCCGCAAATGCAACTGAGGTTTCGAGCAGAGAGCAAAGGAGGATGTGGATAATGCTGGTGCAGGCCACTCGAGGTCTTGCAAGCGCCAGAAATGCTGCAAACAACAAACCATCGCAATGCTTGGATGGCATTGACAGCAAGGTTCCAGAAGTAGGAGGGTTTATGCAGACAGGGCAATGCTTTGGAGGCTTCATTGAACTGTCGTAGTGTCTTGGCAATCCCTAAAGGTGCAGATGCTGACGTCAACGCTATGGTACACCGAAACCCGTCAACTCTACAAAAAACCTTGGCAAGCAGCGACAAAGAGTACAACTCATCTTCTGTACTTTTGATAGGCTCTGCGACTCGAAACTGCAGCGTCCTTAACTAAGCGAAAAGCTGCCAGCTGCCAGTTGTGCTGATTTGACTCGCCCTTGCAACCTATGTGCCTGCAGTCGTGGAGTGTCAGAAACACCAGCTTGCAGAATCCTCCAAAACTGTCAGGCTTACCCGGCTGAAGGCAGCAGGCCCCCAAATGAAAAAACTTCTTCTTGCTTCATGGCTACGACACAGGACAGCAAGCCCACGGTAAAGTACACCAGCAGCTGGCATTTGGAAGACGCTGGCTGGGAGAGCAGTTCCGATGACACTCCTAAGTTCGCAAGGGCAACAAGACCACGCTTTCGTTTTGGGTCTACCCGTCTAGCCGCCACGGATAGCACGAGGCAAGGAGCTGCTCATGCTCCGCACTTCGCATGCACCGTCTAGAAGCACCTCGGAACGGCCTCGGAAAGGCTGTGGGAGAACAGTGAAAAATTAGGCTTTAGACACCGCGAATACAGGGGGGTTCTTCTGTAGAACTGCTGAGCTCACCGGAAATTTCTAGCCTCCGGCTCGGGAGTTATTGCTGCAGCTCCGCGAGAATGCTCGTGTTTCTTGCCAGAGTTCACATCAGTTCGGCATCGCCAAGGTTTGGAAATGCTATTCCACTCGTGACGCAGGCACAAAAAAAGCTTCGACCTACTACGACCCTCTGGACCTTTTTTGTGGTGCGCGATCGGACCAGCGATGATGCGTTTGCCGATTTGTGGCTCGGTGCATCTTTGAGGATTCGAAGGTGCCGCGCAAATTTGTCTGCATGGGATCCAGCATTTCATCGCTCCGCTTGTATAGTTTCTGATAAACTCGCGGACCTCACACTTGCAAGCTTTGGCTGGCTCAGTGCAGGCCAGGTGGCTGTCGATTGTTCCCGAGATGGATGGTAAGGAGGGTGTGGAGGAAGGCAGCTCCTTGCTTGAGCCTACTTTGACATGCCTGAGGGCTACTGCACTCGATGTCCGTGGTATGGAGACCAGCAGAAAAGGGCATGCAAAAGCTATGCGTGATCCTGTCTGCACGGTCAACGTCAACCGTCCACATATCGGCGTGGCTGCTTGTCTTCGGCTCAACTTATCATCACATTTACTCGAGAAAAACTATATAGCAAAATTCAACAACCTGATAACTTAACGTGCTGCCAATGATTCTGGACTAGGTCTTCTAGACAGCTGGAGTGACTTGGATCAAGAGCCAGGCACTTCCACAGCCCGGCCAAATATCATCCCGCAGGTTTCTGTCTCAGACTTGTCTCAGTATGGGGAGGGAGACACAGACTTGACTTTGACTTTGCGATCGCAGAACCGTCCCCTGGTCCCTTGCGCGGCGTAGGCGACACGCCGAATTCAGAAATGAATTCAGCGCGGCTAACGAGAGCTGTAATGTACATCGCCTTAGGCAATATCAGCTCGATGAGCTGAGACTGAAACTGAAATCGAGCTCTGACTACATGGACTTGCAGTCCGCAGTTCGATACTAACTCTAACACCGGCATCACTGGCTATACAGATCAAAGCTTAGTGAGACGAAAGCCGAGAATATAGCAATTCTCACTCAGGATTCGAGCATATGTTGGATGACACAGCTCGGGCGGTTGCCCATCTTCTGTACACCACCAGGTGTAGGTCAGGCTCCCCGAAGGGGCCGACGGTCTCCCCGAGGGGGCCGAAATCCCCGGTGCACTTGCAGGTGCCACATCTCCTGGGCGGTTGACCATCTTCTGTACACCACCAGGTGTAGGTCAGGCTCCCCGAAGGGGCCGACGGTCTCCCCGAGGAGGCCGAAATCCCCGGTGCACTTGCAGGTGCCACATCTCCTGGCCGTGAAGTTGCAGACACCTGGGATGCAAAGTTTTGGGCATCACGTGGATGCGCAAGAAATGCACGATAAAGTGGCCTTGCTGGGGCGAGGGCCCCAGGTGTAAAATCCCCGCCACCAGCTCGTAGGTGGCCCATTGGATCTCATGTCCAGGACCTCGAAAGACAGGGAAACTGACTCGCTGCATGGCCTTACAGGGGATACACGTCTTGTTTTTCCCCTTGGTGGGGTTTGCATATCGGGCAAGGCTGGTGAGCAGGTAGGGCGGTGCTTGGAGAAGGCCGTGGGGAATCTTCTGTTCGTGCCAGCTGATAATGCATTCTTGGATGGTGGCACTGGAGGTTTTCTTAGGAAGAGGGAGGTCAATGTTGAATAGACCACTGATAAGGGGTCTGCGTGCCGCAACAGTACCTGGTATCGGTCTTGCCTCCCACTGACATCGCATGTGTGCTGGGCAGTGTTGGTCAAATAAGTGATGTATGAGCTCAAGGCAATCTTGCTGGCGATGCAGGTTCGTCCAGCCGCTGAGAGAAGAGTGCCACCCGGGAAGGTCAGGGATGGTGATCCGCTCTCCAGGTATAGGGACAGGAGCACTCAACAAATCGTGCAGTGATCGCTCAAGAGACTGGGTGCCATGGACTGGAGCACAGGGTCCTGCAAGGTGTTGAATGTAGGCTAGCAGATACGCAGTGGCATTTATGTAACAAAGATTGTCTGGGTTGTGCAGTGTAAGATGTAGCAGTGCAGCAGGAATGCACACAGCAGATCTGAGTTCCCTGCCATCTACCATCCCACAGCCTCCTGGATCTCCTTGATCAACGGCGACCGCTCTGGGCGGGCCGGTTTGAGCCGGAGAGAGAGGAGCAGGAGCGCTGAGTTGGCATACCATTTCCGGAAGATCGCCATCGCCTCCGATGCTTCTGGTTGCTGCATGGACAGCTCCAACACAAAGGTCGCTGTCTCGGATGTCGAGTCGGGCTTGGCGTTGCGGCCTCCGCTGAACTTCAAGACTAGGTCTGGATTCTTCAGCAGGGCTTTGAGTCTCTTGGCATCTGTGAGGAGTTGATCGTGAGTAAGCGTCTCCCCTTGCCGGGGGACGAGCTTCTTGTCCTCGAAGTCCCAGTCCAAGAAGTTGAACTCCCCCTCCGACGTGGTCCATCCTAGTTCCTGGGCCTTCTTCTGGGACTCAGTGTCGGCTGCGAAGGCATTGATCCTGGTCACCAGTTCGGCTGCAAGATATTGGATGAGAGTTTGCTTCAAGGAGCGGGTCACCTTGTTCTGCTGTCGTTGTTCGCGCCAAGTTGTCGCCACCTCCTGGAGAAGCGGCACCATCAGCTGTGGGCCGTTGCCTGTTCGAAATGTGAAGATGACAGTGTGATCGCTCTGAAGGCGCGACAGATAGTCCGCTTGGACGATGAGGGCCTTTGCAACTCGATGCAGCAGAGCATGATCTCCCGAAGGCATCTTGGAGGGTCCATTGCGATTGTCTGGGACGTCGCTGCCCCGGCTCCCCTGAAAGGGGGCCGCATGGCGGCCGCGTCCCGTCAACGGTTGCTGCTGTTGGCGCGTGCCGCTGCTCCGATTCGGCGGATGCTGATATTTGGTTGGATTCTCTGTCAAGTCCGTCTGTAGGGCTCTTTTCCCTAGAAGCCCTCCAAACACACTCTGTTCTTCCTGGTCGAGGTCCATTTGCAAGCTCTCCATTGCCATCGCAATTGGGAGGAGCGACCAGAGCAGGGCCAGGAGGTGAAACCAAGCTACTCTGAGCAAGACAACAGATGCGGGCTTGCCAAAGGACCGGGCATGTTGCAGCATGCTGGTCGGTTCGTGTAACCTTAGTGCCGCAAAAGACGCAGGGTGAAATGAGATGCCCCATTTTTCGGCAATCTGCTGCCGCAGACGCACCGTGCGTCGTATATAGAGCCTGATGCACTGAGCGATAGTGCAACTTGACGCTCTTGACCGATACGAGCCACTGTCCGCACGTAGTGCAGAATTGCCGCAAAAGCTCCTGAGCTTTGGGCTGTCTAGCAAATCGTAGCCAGTCCTCAGGTTTTTCTGGCAGCAAGCCATCAAGCGGTGAGCCCGTGGGAGCGGCAACAGTGTACGGCACCACCGGGGTCGGGGCCGTTGCTGTCGTAGTCACCTCGGTCACTTTAGCAGGAATCTGCTCTTCAAGCACTGTGGTACCTATCGGCTCTTGGGGAGGATCAGTGGTGGCAGGTGTGGAAATTGAAGAGGGATGAGAGGGCTCACGAACTGGGTCAGTGTGGCTACGTAATGCAGAGACTGTATCCTCGGATGACACCACTAAGGAGGGGTCCAGCTGTTGTCGATGTTGGGTACAGTGCCCTTGCGTGATATGTCTCCTAAAGTTGTGCCAGGTGGTGAAGTCCTTACGACAGTGCATACAAACGGGCATCCCATCGATGCTGTGTTTGCGCACCTCTGCTGCATCCATCTGAAGGAGAGGGTTGGGTAGGGGGGTTTCATGAAACTGAATATGGTGCCTTTTGAGAGTAGCCAGGTCCGGAAACCAGAGGTCGCAGGTTGGGCAGGAGAAACGAGTGGTTCTAGGACCGTGCTTACCAGCGACAGGGGCTCCGTACGGCACCCCTGTCAGGGGGCCGGGCAGGAGCGTGGGAGATGCAGCTGCGATCGCCTCAGACTGGAGGTCAGCATCTTGAGGTGACGGGTTAATAACCAAGGGCTCCGCTACGGTCCGGTCCAGGTGTGAGGTCAGCGCCAGTTTGGATTCAGTGATATGAACCAACCAGTGCATGATCCGAGGCCTGGCGACCATGGGATCGCTAGACTCACGAGTCTTGACAAGAAGTTTTTGGCTCCGTTGCAGCAAGGAAAGTAAGGGGTCCTCTACGTTCAGGCGCTCGAGCAGCGCTCTGCTAGATTCCTGAGTCATGTGCGCAAAGCTGCGTGCGATGGCTCTCAGATGCCTAACCAAGGTGACTGTGATCCGGACTACATGCCTTTGCCGTAAGTCGACTAGGTGTAGACCATACAGAGCAGAGCTCCGAACACAAGCTTGCCAGAGCTGGACTCTCTTAGTCGTGGGCAGTGTGCGGGAGTGGAGGACCTTGAGAAGGCGAGCTCGCTGCGCTTCGGCTACCTGCAGACGGTGGTCAACAGTGGCAGTGGTGGCATCCACATAGGAGAGGATAATGCCTAGGTACGTCAGCTTAGTCACAATGGGCAGGCGGAGTGCCTTGCTGCCAGGTTGGGGTATAAGCAGGAAGCGGCCCTCCGCAGTGGTGGCCGTGTGAGCTCGCCACCATTGTGTGGCCTGCCTTCCTTTATATGCCACAATGAGTTGTGTTTTCCGATGCTGAACTTGAAGGCCAAGCTGAGCTAGGATCCGAAAGGTGTGGGCGATGATGTCCACCATATTCTCCAAATCCTGAACTCGGTGGACGATCCACTGGAGTAGTAGATCGTCCGCGAACATCGTGGTGTCCTCTTGCAGCCATGTTACGGAGGTAACGCCTGCCAGCGCACGAAACAGTGCGATGGTGATGAGAGTCCATAAGCTCGGCGCTAGTGGGCATCCCTGCCGCACACCCCTTTCACTCTCCACGCGAGTTGTGGGGTCCTGGCCTGCAGGCCAGTAGCCAATGCAGTGGTGGAGATTGAGGATAACTGCCAGCTCCGGCTCCGGTACACGGGCCGCCCGCAGCTCTTGCTCGAGAACCTGTCTGTTGACAGTGTCAAACGCTTTGCTCGTATCAATAGAGAGCGTTACTCCCCCTTGACAAGAGGTGGGCTTCCGGCCAGTGTGACGACGTTCTCGTAGTGTAAGGCGTTGCGACGCCAGGATTTGTTGGACCTGGGAGCAGTGATGCAATGCACGTATGATCGCATGGTCTATGCTTCTGCCAGTTGTGTAAGCGTACTGGGGCCACAGTTTAGTGGCTTCGGCAAAGATTGGGCGAAGGCGCATGGTTAAGGCTTTGACAACGATGCGGCCCCCTCCCTCCGTCAATGCTATAGGTCGTAGGTTCTCAGGCTGGTCCGGCGGTTTTCCTGGCTTAGGAAGCCAGGCTACCCATGCATCAGCCCATAGTCGGTAGAACGTCCCAGG